ATTTCTTGGGAATATTCCACATTAATAATGCCCAGATCTCAGGAAATGTGTTATTCCTCCTATTTTTACCTCTCTTTGGTTTGGGTTAACGCCGATTGTTGCAAATTCGCATCACACCTCTTCCTTTCAGGCAGAATAATTTGCATCTTACCTAATTTTTTTTAATTGTAAATAAATTCAGGCATCAAGGGGTTAAACCTGGTTGAGTTAAGAGTAATTTCCAACTTAGGGTCCTTTAAGTTGTTATTTAGTTCCTCAGTTTCTTATTGAGTTAAGAAAACTCTCTAAGTTTTAATTTTATTAGTTAGTAAGGCCTGGTTTAAGAGTTTTCGTTTCACCTACTCTTTAGTTCACTTAACCAATACGTTTTTGTTTTTGTTTTTTCAGTTTACAGTAACAACAAAAACATTTCAATTGCAACATTTGCATCACCAATTCGGAAGGCTAAACTTGACCATGCCTGTTGCATGTAGCTTTTCAATTCTTTCACACAAATAAAACCACAAAATACACAACATAATTCACACTTTCTTAGTTTAGCTACTGGCACTTCAGGCTTAACCTTACATTCAGCTCGGGAAAAAAACAAGGAAATGCATGCTAATTTACACGTTGTAAATAGCAGCCTTTACTCACCAAATCCTTGTTCAAAGCAACTAAAACAGAATCCAGCGATGTGGACAAAAAGAAAACCAAAATCCTCCAAAAAATGGAAAAGAAATCAGGTTTTACAGTCTTCAAAACTTGTTTTTTTTTACTGTTATCTGATTCTCTCCTCCCTTGTTTTCAGTCTTATCTGTTGTTTACTTCTAGGTCTACTGCTCTGTTTTTCCTCTCTCCCCAGCAAGTGGCGCTAGAGTCACTCTGATTGGCTGTTACCGCTGCACTTCTTAAAGGAGTAGCAAATAAAATAAACTAACAAGAATTGTTGACTTAATGCCTAATGTCATTTGTTTGTTTACATATACATTTATTGTTTACCCTTTTATTGGTCTGTAGGTAGTATTAACCTGTGTTACAAGTGCAAAACTGAAACAAGACAGAAGTTCAATCAACTGAGCAGGTCACTTTCTTTCAGTGGTTCTTACTGGTGTTTTTGCATGTTCTAGGCAGTCCTGATGTATAAATACATAAGGTTTATACTGTAGTTAACTGGCGGTCTTCAACAGGGTACCGTAAGTATTAGATTGATTTACTACCTGCAAGGCATCCTTTGGTTTTTATTAATTCTACAATGGAAGAAGATCAGCTTCCAAAGACCCAGCAGGGCAAATACAAATAAGAAACCAACATATGTTGCAGAATCTCTTCCTTGTTGATACTCTGAAGTACTGAGGCGCGTGCCATATTCACAAAGCTGTGTTTTCACACATTTTCATTTTACTTCACAAGTTTTCAGGGTGACCTCTTGCTTTAGTTTGACTTCAGGTTTGATCTCAGACAGCATTACTTTTAAATGCTGCCCTTTTCGGCACTGATCTAAATGTACTGGTATGATCTGAAATGGCTACCTGGTGGGAGGTGGGAAATCAATTTAAAAATGTATCTTTAGCAAAATACGGCATACTTTTTGATTTTATTGGTAAAGCCTGGGGCTGCAGACAAAGGTCTCAAACATCCACGTGAAGAGAAAATCTATATTCTTTGGAGAACAGCAGGAATGTGTTAAATTTTGAAATTGACTATTACAACATAAAGTTTGAAAAATACAAAGTTTACACACATTTACTTATCCTTCAGGTTGTACTGATGATACAGGTTGCACTGCCTCTGCAGCAGGTGTAACTGAGTTTAGCCAGACACCACTGTAACTGGCTTGTTAAACAAACCCCTTGACTTTGCGTTGTGTTTTGTTATGTTGTGTTGGCTAGAGGGACGATGGACGAGAACCTTGTGTCTATTTCTGTGTTGCCGTTTACTACTTACTTACTTTACTACTTACTTACTGGCCAGGAACAGCATAAATACATATAGCACACTCTGGGCATGTCTCTCATGAACTGGCTGGGTTTCACAGCATTTACCCAGTGGTGGAAGAAGTATTTAGATGATTTATATATGTTGATAATTTGCATTTATAGTTGTAATCTAGTAACTAAAACGGTCAAAATAAATATTGTGGAGTAAAAAGTAAAATATCTGAGGTACTTGTACTTTACTAAACCACAGTATGTCAATAAATGTACATTCCACTTCTGCATTTAGGGACTGGGAGACGGCGCCCGTGAGCCACTGAACCTACACTACAGAATCTGTTACATAGGCAGTTTAAGTAAATATACTTTGACACACTTTTCCACTCTGTGCATGGGACTCTCTGATTGGGGAACAACATGACTATAACTATCACCCTCCCCTCCTGTTATACTATTAGTGACAAGAGTTTCTCCTCTTATCAGTCTCAACAACAGTGAGCTGTGAAAATCTTTGCTCATCTTCAAATCAGAGAGTATCAGAGAGACTGCAGCAGTCCAGAAACTTGGGCTTAACAATCTCTTAGTGCTGTGAAGAAGGCTGATGTCACCCTCTCACCAGCCATCTGTCACACTGGTGGTCCAACCTCAGCTGGAAGTGGACTGGCAGTGGATCCAGACTGACCCGGCCAAGGCCAAGGCCGCCTGGTGGGTATTTAGTACAGCGTCTCTCTCCGCCCCTGCAGTGCCATCAGCACTGGCTGCTACAGCCCAGCACCTCTCATCCTTTTGGTGTCCGAGCCTCAGTCTAGCTGCAGCAACGGCAGATAACCGGGCACCAGATGGCCAAGGAGACCACCACCCACACACACACACACGCACACACGCACAAGCATGCACAATCATTTTTACAAAAAAGCTACAGTCAGCATCAACATATGGTCTGTGTCTTGTACACACTTGTACAACTGTTCACTGCATGGTTTCACACACCCACAGTACTGTTAGCATTCACCTTTTTTGCAATCATTTTAGCTTGCTATAATTAGAAGTTTGGTTTACTAAGGTTCATTATTATCAGCGTGATAACATCACAAGACACAAGACCCACCGTTATCCCCACATTCATTCACACCTATTAGCCAATGAACTAGTGAGAAACAGCACCCCACTGGCTGCAGGTTTATATAAGTCCTGTGGAGGGAACAGCGACACAAACACGGCAGTAACACCATGGCAGCCATTTAATGAGCACTACTATACTTTAAGGACCAAGTCCTAATTTTAGTCAGAAAGTCACTTCTGGGCAAGCTGAGCTAACAGAGATGAGACTGACCAGGATCAGGGCCAGAGCCTGAATGACACGTTTGATTTACTGACGAGAGTTAGCAATTATACACAGTGTTTTCCCGTAGGTACTTGTGTGTTCTGTTTGCACATTGAGGAATTAAACATTAAAAATCCCAACCTTGATTTTATTAATTATTAGAGTCCATATTACAATTGGAATATGAATGAGCTGTTTAGAGGTTGCTTTCCAGGTTGAAAATGTCTATTAAGTAGCGATATGGTTCCAAATGAAAGCATTCATTCATTGGAATATATTATTTGAAAGTTAAAATCCTCATAATAAACTGACTCATTTATCTCTTTCATTATTAAATGTGGCACCCTGCACAATATGAAGCTCAGTATAAGTTCATCAGTTAATCAGGAAGACTATCTCCGTGCCTCATTTATTCACAATGATCTCGAACCAAATCTGTTCTCTCCCTATGCCGCCATCTAATTCAATTTACTGCTAATTCAGTAACAATAATTGAAATACATTTTATACTGATTGCATGGTTCATCTTAGTTGGTTTATGTTGTCGTCACCTCTTTGGTGGTGGAAGAAGCATTGAAATCCTTTCCTAAAGTGGTAGATCACACAGATTGAAAATACATGTAGTAAATGCACTGCATACAAAATCTTACTTAATAGCAGGTAATATTATCAGCAAAATGTACTTAGAGAATCCAAAGTAAAAAAAGTCCAACTCATAATGCAGCAAATTGGTCCATGTCGAAGTTAAATTGTTATACATATTAGATTATTAGATCATTATTACAGACATTTTACTGTGCATGAAGCATTTTATGTTGTATCAGATTGAGGTGCCGCTAATGGAATCATGTTTTTTGTATGTTAAGCCCACCTTGTCTGTAAAGTGTGTTTAACTTGTTATTTCAATTGGATCTTTGAGTGTCACAGTGTAGAATGATGTATAGGTAGAGTTTGACACTAGAAGGTTGGAAAGTTTCTCTGCGCTTACCTTAAATGGTTTAAGACGTCTGAGTACGAGTAGGATTTTGTGACATCACAGCTAGCTTGGAGGCTAATCTTGGTTCAGTATGCAACTTCTATGAGTGTGACATAGAAACCTCCAGTGCACATACACACACTGAATGACGTTTTCAGTAAAGATGGGGACATCTTAACCCATCATCACTAGAATCTATGAATATGTTATGTAAATATTTTTTCGTTTAAAGAGTTAAGTTTTTAAATAAGAGTAGAATTTTTTTATTTGACTTTTATTGTGGAAAAAACTAATGGGATACAAAATTATTTAAAGTATTTATTTATTGTCTTAAAACCAATCTGGAGGGGATCTTTAATCTGTAAACTAACTATATCTGTAGCTGTTCAAAAATGGAGTGGAGTAAAACTACAATAAAAAATTTTGTGAAGTGTTAATTAAAATTGTGAGGTACCTTATGTACAGAATGTCCACTTTCTGCTTCTGAAGTGGTGAAATGTAACTAAGTATACTGTACTTAATGTTTCAGCATCTAAACCTAAATCTATTTGCCAACAGACTCATCAGATCCCACTGCTTAACCTCTGAAAACTAAATATTTCACGATTCAGACTGATTTAAGTTAATGTGTTAAAATCATTATTTGAATCTCACTTAAACATGTTTTACGTATATGCATGTTTTTCGATTGTTCCTCTGTAAGAAAGTTGCAGTACATTTGATTAAACCCACATTATTGCTTGTTGAAAATCTGCATTAATGCGGGATGTGAAATCACAACACATTCGAAGAAGCTATGTATATCTTTATTGTGTGCTATGTACATATTTTACAGTATGGTACAGCAAGAATACACAGTAATGCTACACAGTCTAGATTGCACAGTTATAGAGTCAGGCCACAGCGGTCGGGTACCGTGATTATGATGAGACATACCATTGGAGTGTACAGCATGCATCTTTGGCTTCATAGGGATAACAAAACATTGACATGGGACAGGAACACAGTGGATGCAATCTTCAGCCAAGAGTGAGCAAAATAACTCATTTGTCAGTGATTCATTGGCTTAAATGGATTTTCAACCCAGAAAGAAAGAAGTATTATATATCTTCATGTATGGTATTATGTCTCTGTAAATGCATTCGTATATTCGGATCTGTAAATGTTATTACAGAACTGTCCTCCAGTGTTGGTTAGGAGATTGTATCCTAAGACCCCTGCTGGGTTAAGACTTGCCCAGTACTGAATCCTGTCAAAAGGTATTTCCACATGGTGTGTGCCTATATGGACATAATCTGTGCACACATTGTGTGTGAGATGATGACAGTGGTGAGAGCGAACTCATCCTCTAATTGGCATAATTTCTCTCAGCCTATTAATTTGTGGTAAAATTAAACTAGTCCTCATTTTGCAGAGGGTTGTTTATCAAGAGTCAGACCGCCTCTCTCCCTCCTCTCCTGATAATACTGAATCTTCCATTCTCCTCCCGCCAACATACAGCAACCGCAGTTACAGCCTACAGAGCGTCGGGTGAGAATACAGAGAGAAACCGAGAAGACAGAGATTGGATTAAAGATAGATGGGGAAAGAGAGCAGTAAAGAGAGAGCCAGGGAGAGAGAAGGGAAGTGACAAGGTGAGAGAGAGCGAGAGAGAGGGGAGCCGACAGAGAGATGGATGCAGCAGGGTCGCTGAGGTGAGGAGATGGTGTAATGATTAGATCACAGATACCCTTGAGCCTTCCTCCTGTCCCTCCCGCACACAAAAAAAATAAAAAATAAAATCTGGAAGCGTACTCGGGAGGGGAAGAAGGCCTGCAGTTGTAAATGGCCCCGCTGTCAGAGTGCATCTGGGCGGAGGAGGAGTGCGGGAGTGGATTACCGGAGTCTGCGATTAGAGCAGCCTACTCTGCCTCTCCACTTCTCCCAAGACGGGAGAGAAGCTTGCACTGGATCGCATTTGTGCCGCCAAAGACTTCCTAAAGATGTTATAAACATAATGTTGGACTGTTCAGAGACTGCACATCTTTTAGGAAGCAGGAGGGGAGGAGAAATATCATCCTGCAGGTTCTTACTGGAAATTAAGTTCCTGGAATATCAGGAAAGTCAAAGAAAGTCGGGGAATGTGATAACATCTGATAAAAGCCAGGGGCTGCACAGACACAATCCAACTTATTTTAGAAATAATCTCATGTTGAATGCAGTGAATGCTATGTAATCTACCTGCAGCATTAATCATGCCTGTCCACTTCATTAGAAAAACAGTTTAGTGTATTTTGATCCTTTTGGTTTTGTCTTGGAGGTGTCCTCTTTCCCTCTGAGTCACAACAACAAGTCTGAGGCTGATGCTAATTGCTTCCTTAAATATTCTTCACCGCCTAATCAGATGATGTCATCTCCAAACTTTAGCAAGTTGAAGGTGACTGCTTGGAGAGGAGATGTGTTTAGGATGCTTCCATCTAGTGGTCGCTTAATGACACTGTTGATAATACAAAATTATAAAAAAAAAAAGGGAGATGTCACAAAGCAAAAAAACAAAAACATTATTATGACCCTCTTGTCACATTTGTGCAGCCCTGTAGTTAAACAATCTGACTGAGAACAGAAAATAAATGTGTCATACATATCCTAATGGCATGGAGTGGCAGGGGGTTATTAGTGATCATAATGGCTCCATTAAGTGCATACAAAAGGATATCTTTACAATGAATTCTTACTTTGATTCACAAAATATATTTCTGACATAATACGCAATGGCATCGACACAATGACGACATGACAGGGGAGGATAATAGCTTTGAATGGAAGCAAGCAATGCCCTGAGGGCTGTTGTGGCTGGGTAGACACGCTCTTCTCCATCTTAACAACAACTCCAATATTAGCTCTGAAAAGATGTGACTTAATTAAATGCCTGATCGAGTGTTTCACTATGTTTCCACTTAAATGGTCAACTAGAGAATGCTGCCTCTTAGTAAACTATCCCATTATGTGTTTCAGTGACATGTATTGTATTGCATTGTATGTACATCGCATGTTACATAAATAGTTTTCCTTAACATAAAAAGAGAGGGTTGATTTTTAAAATGCCACTGCGTAGGTGTGTGTAACTGTGTGAAAGTCTGCATTTGAGGAGTGAGGAGGAACATAGCCAAAGAACAACTTCAAATGGAAGAAATTAAAGGACTAGTTGAAGGTAACGTTTTGACCATCTTCATAGAAATGACTGGATCATAGTTGGATGGCCGTGTGACTGACAAGTCCAGAGAGTTTGCCTGCCTTCTGCCAACAGAAATCACCAACCACAAATTAAGTGAAAATGTCAATATGTTGATATTTTAAACAAAGAAGAATTTTTGGTTGTTTGTTTTTCAGCAAATAAACAATCTATAAAAGAGGGGATCAACATCCTGGCTGCAATTAAAACATTAAAACTGCTGGGGGAGTTTTTGGCCTCACCTCCAGACATAAGTTGATCACTATTTTGGATCAGTGTACACTGCCTTCTTATTCTGTCTGTGACTACATATTGCCGTGTGTTAACATAACGAGTGTGTGCGCAAGCGTGTTTTGCTGTAAAGGTATTTATTCCCTCAAATGTGGGAAAATCCTTTTTCACTGTGGATTAAGAAGACAGTGTGCATAATGTATACAGGGAGTGAGGGTGGAACACAGAAAGGGTGAGGGGGTGGGGTGGCAGTTAGCAAGAAGATGTGAGCAGTGGAAAAAGGTTTTTAAAAGTTGACATCAGTTCTTTTGCACTGAAGTGGTAATACGTAAATACCTTTTTAAAATTGGGTGTTTTTCTTTTTCAAAACAGTTTTTCCTGCACAAACTGTATACTTGTGTGGAAACAGTGTGCATAATGTATACAGGGAATGAAGGTGGAACACAGAAAGGGTGGGGAGTGGCAGTTATCAAAAAGATATAAGCAGTGGAAAAAGGTTCTAAAAGTTGACATCAGGTCTTTTGCACTGAAGTGTTACATACATAAATACATTTTTTCTTGCCAAAACAGTTTTTCTGCACAAATTGTATTCTTCAGTGGCAAAAACCTCTAAACAAGCAGTTACAGCAGAAGACACTTAGTCTCCACAAACACTTAGGAAGATGATGATAAAACATTTTAAGCATAATCTGGTGTAAAATGTTGTAGAAGTACAAATCTAAAGAGCCAGCTTCGCATAGACTGCCAGTGCAGTGTTGCTCAATTTTGCAAGCATGTATTCAATCATCGTATCTGTAGATGATGAAACTGCAGAAACAATTCTGGAAAAAAAGCAAAGTACGTGAGACAGAACATTGGGGGAAAAATAGGTACAAAGTTGGGTTGCGTTCGTGTTTCATCTGCTTGTCTTTACTTAGTTTTTATGTTACGAGGACAGGTGGCAGCTAGATAGGGTGGCCTGTTCCCCCGACAAGCCACTAATGCCTCCAATAAGGTAAACCCTCGGCAAATTGGCTCCTGTCGACAAAGCTGCCACCGATAAGATCGGAGGATCGCTAACGGCCAAGACAACTGAAAGCATGCGAGGCTGGGCTGGAGATAAAGAGTGTAGGAGGTGGGAGCAAAATAGGAAGAACAGCAATCAATTGCTGGCAATGTGAAGCGATGCTATCCGACACCATCCCTCTCTTACATCTCCTGTAAGAGTGTGTGCACGATCATAATCTGAAGGGGTGGAGAGGTGGGTGGTGTGTGTGTGTGTCTGTGTGTGTGTGTGTGTGAATCTGGGTCATCAAGTCATCAATAGCCACCTGCATTAGTGGACCAAACACACAGCCAAGGTCAAAACTGACTAAAATCCCTTCAGAGTGAGAAGGAGATGAAAGGGGAGGAAAAACTTTACAGTGTGGGTCTTTTCCAGCTCAGATGACTCCCACAGGGGGTTGGTAGGGAGGATGGATGCTTGGATGGACGGATGGATGGATGGAAGGATGAATGAGCGTATGACTGGAAGAGTGGCATTTGAGTTTCTACTTTTGACAGATTGGCGACGGCCGACTTGGCAAGCAGAAACAGGTGGGAGTTGGGGGCTGCGGCAGGCTGGGGCAGAGAGAGAGGAAGGGAGGGAGGGGGTGAATTATGGATGGATGGATGAAGTTGGGGAGGAGGAGGGGGAGGGCGGTGTCTGGCGAGGGCTTGTGCCCTGCTGACAGGCAAGCTGCTAGTTGGTGGAGTCACTTAGCCACACAGAGTCAACCAGAACTGATGTACTGTGGCCCTTTTTCTCTCACCCAAAGGCCTCTGGGATGCTTGTAGGCAACAGGACTCCATCGAGGGCTGCTTGGCTCTGAAAAGTAACACCGGAGCAAGCAGCGGTGCAGAAGATCAGTCTCTTCCTTACTGTTATGTGGTCAGTTTGCTTGCTCCACTGCTGCCATTTTGTTCTTCATCTTACTCTTCTTCCCATGTCGGACCTTTCACTCCTCACCCTCCTCTACGTATGTGGATGGGAACCAGCCGACCTGGAGGGGGTGGGGTGGGGGTGGGGGGCGGAATAAGTAATCACTCACAAATACTTCACAGCACCAGTTGTAATTTAAAATCATTTATGGGGTACTGGCTTTCCCTCCCTTTTGCTCTTTCTACTTCAGATAGTGATTTACCAGAATGCCTTTCAACAGCCCACAGTGAAGAGCTGTAAACTCTGTGTGTGTGTGTGTGTGTGTGTGTGTGTGTGTGTGTGTGTGTGTGTGTGTGTGTGTGTGTGTGTGTGAGATAGAGCAGTTTTTTTGAATAACTAACAAAGCTCTAATTTACATTTTCCATCTTACTACTGGCAATCCTGAAGGTACCAGAATACCGAGTGTGGCCATTTTTCTTTATGCTGAGATCCAACATTGAAACTATTGGCTATTATATCAATGTTTTGCACTGTTCACATTAAAAGTATAATTAAATGACAAGGGTTTATAGATTAAATGTTCAGTTTGAGCATGGAGATTATTTTTTTAAAGGTTCAGTGTGTAAGATTTAGTGGCATCTAGTGGCGAGGATTGTGAATTGCAACCATGTGTCCAGTCTACCACTGCCCCCTAACCTTTCAAAGAGAGTAGGACAGCTACAGTGGCTGACAACAGCACAAAAGGTGTCTCTTCTAAGACAGCAGAGGGTGGCCAGTCAAGAAATGAGGGTTCTTTAGGAATATTTATTAAGAAATTATATTTACTTAATTATTCAGTAAAACCATATGTTATTGTGACTTGGCCACTGACAGAAAACATGGAAAATGTAAGCCAAGAGTGTGAAATACAGTCACTGTTTCTGCACCACAGTCCATTATAAACCACACATTAAATAAAGTTTATACAAACACTGACAAGGGAAACACATTCATTCTCTCTGTGATTATGGGCCCTCGCCAAAACAATATAATAATATCTGACCAGCGGTCAGATTATGGTGCTTTGATAGCGGCAAAAAATATAAATAAATAAATACTTTGACAGCGGTGCTGAAATAGATCTCAGTCATGGCAGCAACCGTTATTCACATAATCACTTCCTCTTTGTGGTTTTGCCTACAAAATAAAAGCGCGAGAAGCTTGTTTACTGTAATGCAGTATTGTAGTTGAACTGAGCTTTTACTTTGAAAATTTCTGAACAACATTAAAAGAGTCTGTTGCCAGCTTGACACCTCTGAAAGAGCCGTCAGAAAACGTGATTCCCCTGAATGTCCTCTGCTTGGAGATACTGGGGAATTGAAAAAGCGTCGTAGTGTAGGTTGATGGATGCGGATCAAACACCGAAACAAAAACAGTGTAGCACATGCCGTGATCCGAGAAACATTAGCTGCCGAATACATTTGTTGAAGAGAGAGAAAATAGACATTGCATGAAGGTGGGATTGATCCCTTAACCCTTGGGTTATGAGTCCGGCACCTTACCGATTGAACTAACCGAACAACATAGGGATTCAATACTATGTCTTATATTCTCATCCACAATCTAATGGTTGAAAATATTGCTCTGATGCAAAACTTATTTGCAGACCCCTGCAGTATATTATTACTACTTCTTCTAACGTACGTATTAAACATGATGATGATGAGTATCTGCACTGCCTGAATTATACCAGAAGTAGAACAAGATTGTAGTGACGAAACGCACTCTGTAGTGCTGTTTGTCCGTTTTCAGCTACTGTAGAAACATGACGGTGCAACGTGCCGAACTCCATGGAAGGGGGGACCCACAATTATGTAGATAGAAATGGCTCATTCTAAGGTAATAAAAACATAATGGTTTATTATGTAAGGTCTTTACACACCACTGAAAACATAGTTATGGATCTTATATTGCATTTCTGTTGATAGATCCTCAGAAATATTACACACTTAACCTTTAACAATAAAATTTTTTTGTGCACATCTTTTTTCTAACCTATGTGCAATCATTTACATATCCCAAAGCCTGGTACCTGAGCTGAAAAATTGTTGGGGTTACATTGCCAAAACCTTTTAATAAAAGAGATTAAGTCAGATTAAATTTAAGTCATTAAATTATATAACTCATTCTACTGTTTTTACTTACAAATATAATGGCAGTTGCTTTGTATGATTGGAATAGCCTGTTTTAAATAGTGGATAGTTCAATTTTTAAACAAAAATACATTTATGAAAACATAAAGTTCTCTGCAGCATTACTATAAACTATTAAATGAATTTCAAAGCTATCTAAAACCAACAATAAGAGCCTGCTATTCCAATGAAGTGATATTGAAAGGTTATAGTAGTATAATCCTAAAGTGTTTTATCAATTGGCAGATTCAGACACCTTTTTTTCCAGCCAGCAGTGGCGATTGTTGTTACTGGTTGAAGGCTCTAAAGAGAGTCTAACAGCTCGCTACAGACTCTAGACACAGTGTTTAGTTTTCACCAGAGCAACATCAACACACACATTAGGCTCAGTAATGTGTGGCTGTGCTGTGAGTGTGTTTTGTGAACTACTGTGGTAAATAAAAAAAGCGTTTCTCTTTTAGCGCAACACACACACACACACACACACACACACACACACACACACACACAGAGGCTGAATGTGAGTGGGAGTCAGTACTAATATTTCCCTGCATTTAGAAACCAGCATTCTCTCAATGCCGCATGCCTGATTATAAAGCGCTCTTGGTATTGGATGGGAACATTTATGCATTTCAGACATAAAAGAGCAGCAAATGAGCTCTTCCAAGTGATGATATGGGGGAACAGAAATGTTGGAAACATGTACATAACAGACTAAAGATAAAACAGACTAAATCTGAAGAGTCCCTTCCAGGTATGTGTAGACAAGAATATCCACCAAACCTTTCTTCTTCAAAAGCTCGTTTTTAGCTCTACTTAAAATGTGAATATGAGAATTTAACACGCAGAATGAAGAAACAAAATAGCATTTTTGAGTAAATCGTGCTAATGAAGGTTCTGAAACTTTTCTGCCTTGAATAAACATCAGTGAATGTAAACATGAATGCAGTGCAAAGCTACATTTCTCAGAGGTTTATCACTGTATCAAATCAGTAAAGATCACTTTCCCCATTTGGATTTGATGATGCGAGGCTATGTTTTATTGGTGTATTAAGGCTGCCACTTACCCTGCCATTTACCTCGCCCCTCCACCAGCCGTTGGCTCCTGACTTTGTGTAGATCTTAACCACGTCACCCTCCTGCAGCGAGAGCTCCCGGGTGTCGCGTGAACTGAAGTCGTACCGTGCTATCGCCACACCAATCACTTTTGGAGTAAACACTAGAAAGAGAGAGAAAGAGAGGTGGGTATTAAAAAATATATGAAATGTCGTTCACCCAAGGATCAAGAAGATGTGTTTGAAAAAAATCAAAAAACATCAGTGTCAGTGTCAACACATACACACATGTACACACACCGATAGAGATGGGTGATATTTTTTCAAACGCCCAGAAAAACCTGGGGTCTCACCATCGTTCTCCTCTCCTTGCTTTTTCTTATAAGAACATCTGTCTATTATTATTGTTATTATTGGTTGTGGTATTATCAGTAGTAGTAGTAGTAGCAGAAGTAGAATTTAGATAATAGCTTTATTAAAACGTGGCCTACTGGTCACACCAGCTCTGTAAGTAAGTTCGTAGAGATAGAGATTAGCTAGTTGTTGCTTAATGTTTACACTCCGTAACTGCCATTTGTTACTGTTTCATAGCTACTTCAACTGACTGAAAAAGCTAATGTCAGCTTGCAAGCATATGAAATAACACTAGACAAAATGCTGTTTAATAATGACATAAAGTGGGAATATTTTACATTGCATTTCACAAAAATGACCTTCAGCTATGTTAGCATGATGTCATTATAAGCTACATAAATAAAATAAAAACAAGTAATACCTATATTCACAAAAGACTGGCAACTTTTAAGGTTAATATAATGAGAGCTGAGTGTATTACCAGAACATTAAGGTTTTGTTCCAGAAGAAAGAAAACCAAGCCTTATTTGAAATCATGTTGACATTTTTAACTATACTAATTACAGCGTAGATTGCATTGAATTACATTAGCTAGTGGGACAGATGCTAGCCTGGACTTCGGCTCTCTATTTTGTTTCCCTCCAAAAATTCTTATTTTTATAAAGTTATGCTAAAGTTTGGGAATCTACAGTGACTTCCTGTTTACATAGCTTTAGCTGATTACTTTTAATTGCGCGACTCTAAATATGTCTTTTAGAAACCATTTTACAAGTCACTAAGTTTTCACTGGCCAAGTTTTAATGGTGTAATGGTGATTTAGTATGTCACTTTAGTACACTTAATTATCCCAAATGAAGACTGAGGGGTAAAAACCAAATGTTAAGTTAGAGATGATGTACACAGATATGAGCTTGCTGTTCGTTTTTTCATAGTTGCGCAGATGATCTGGTGAACAAAATATAGTGCTAAATAAGCTAATCCGTGAACTGTTTATACTACCAGTGCGTTTCATTTCAATTTCAGGGAATTACGGCCCTAAAAGTCCTTTTTATGTTGTGTAGTTTATAGCTGTATACTTTAGTGTTCTCACAGCCGCATGTGTGTGTGGGTGCGCATGGCTACACATCTTTTCTAGGAGACAGCAGTATGAGAGACAGCTGTGGAGCAAGTTAGCTAGTTACCACAGCTCCATCCACCGTGCCAGCTTTCTACCTTCTCCAAACACTGACTTGTGGGGTCAGACTGGGCTAAGTTGACAGGTGGAAATGGAATGTCAGACCTCTACAACCTGGCCGTAGGGATAGAATATCTAATATAGAGGAGCTCTGTGTATTTGGACACCTCCACCTTTACTTTGACGGACACACACAAGCAGACACACACCAAACTCAGCCACATATGCCTCGGGTAACACCTCAAACACCACTCCTTTCCCAACTATTTCTGCACATGCAAACACACATGCAAACATACACACACACACACACACACAGACACTCCCGCAAACACAGTACATACATGCATTATTAAAACAAGCAGTCCCTATTTTCCACACAGGATGACATGTGCACACAACTATGGAAGAGGTGAAATGGTGCAATGGGAAGCTAGATGGCAGATGTAAAGGCAAAGATCCAGGCGATGATGTGAATGCGCTGAGCAACAGCCAGCATGCTAAGCAGCCTTCAACATGAAAGCAAAAAGAGAGAGAGAGAAACAGAGTGTTGCAGAGACAGACAGAGAGAGAAGCGATACCTGTACCTGACCAGAAGGGAGCAGAGGAAGGAGGTACAAAGCTGTAGCCGGCAGGAGTTACAAAAGAGAGGCCGCAGAGCAATGGGGCTATGGCAAGGCGGGCCAGGCAGGGAGCGGAGAGATGCGAAAAGGGGGAGAGGGCAGGGATGGGGGATGGTAGAAGGAGAGAGAAGCAAAGGAGAAAAAAAACATGTATTTAAAAAATCCCAACTCTGAGCTGTTTTATTTCCAGAGGTATAAAGAACACAGTTGCAGTTTGATAAAGAATAAGTGACGACAGGCACACTTAATCTACACAGCCACTGGGAGCAGTTCATTTTTGCTCCTAAAGTATTTACACCATTTGGCCTAGAGTGGGCACTGTATTTAGGAATCTAAAATTTTAACTCAAACACGTAGGATCTAACTCTTGGTCTGGTCTAAAATTTCAACACTTGTGTTTAAGAATAACTGCCATTGCATGACTAAAGGTCAGAATTTCCAGTGCTAACCAAGGCTCTTACTAAACTCATATGAAACACAAAAGCTACAAAACCTAGCCATTATTCATTTACAAAATATGTGGTGCTCTAATTAAAACCATTTGAAGCATGTTGGTGATAAGTCACAACATTTATCTCAAGAATACACATTTTTTGTTCTGATGTTGGAAAACTGAGTTGAAAGGTCAAACCTTGGACAAGGTCCAGAACAAATACACACCACAACACTAAATATGGAATGATGGCACAACTTGATTCCAATTTGCCAAAGTCTCCACTTTTTCATTTAATTGGGAGGAATATGCTGTGTGCTCACAATTACAGATTCTTTTACTTTAGAAAGCCTAATTGTGCTTCTACCTTGCAAACAAGTTGAGAAATAGCCCACTGGAGGCCCACTGCATTTGTATTTCAATCTGTCTTCCAGTATTTCTAGTGGCAGAGAAAGGAGCTACAGGCATTGATCTGATTCCAACAATGTCTTTAGAGTTGGCAGTGTTAGTGCCTTACTCAGGGGAATAGAACATCTAACCCTGAAAGTATTAGTACAATAGTCTTTTTGGATACATTTGAGTATGCTGGGTTATTTTGGAATGTCAACATAGCAAGTATGGCACAAGCACAGTCAGGAGAAAATGCTGATGCTACATAGGGTTATACTCAGTAGCAGTGGTATTTCAGTAGAAAATTCAATAAAAGTAGTTGGCTAAATGGGTGCTAATACATATTTTTGTCCAAACAGCCCATTCCTGATGTAGGAATTTTTGTAGTATGTGGACATTCGAAAACTCCACGTTATATAGACAGGTGCAAGACATAGATGTGGTTAACTGTGGCTACACAGCTCCATATGTCTGCATTATAACACAGATCATGGATGGATTACTGAATGAGCCTACTGTGCACAGGTGCGGGGACCATGGACCACAGCCTCTGTTTAAACTGTAAATCCAACAGCTACAAAAAGCCATCGCAAAACTACATTTACACAGAACGACCATAAAGAGACACAGAACAACTCAAAGAGTCAAAGAATGACTACAAAGAGACACAGAATGACCACAAGGAAACAAAGAACTACCCAAAGAGACATAGAATGACTACAAAGAGACACAGGACAACACAAAAAGACAGACAACAACCACAAAGAGACCCAGAACAACCCAAAGAGACACAGAACGACCAAAAGAGACACAGAACGACCCAGAGAGACACAGAATGACCCAGAGAGACACAGAATGACCCAGAAAGACACAGAACGACTACAAAGAGACACAGATCAACCACAAAGAGAGACACAACGACTGCAAAGAGACATAGAACGACCCAAAGAGACACAGAGCGACCGCAAAAAGACAAAATCGACTACAAACAACATGCCTGCATTGTTCAGTCTGGGGGTCTTGCTCCCATGTAGGATGGGTGGGAGGCCTTGTACATATCTGTGTCCAGGAGCCCAGTATCTCATAATCTGTCCATGGCTGTAAACTAGTAACAAATAGCAGTTTTTAATTGATATCTGATCAGACTATTTTAAGTAGTTAATTTAGCTATTTTAATTATTTAGTAATTATTAATTATTATAAATATTATCGATAATGTGTAGTTTTGGTATTGGGCTTTATGTCACAAATTTTAGTCAAATGTGCACCTCGTCTTTAAAACGATGCCCCAGTCCAGCCCCCCCTTTTGAAAAGTTTCTAAACCCTCCTCTGCACAGGAGCCCACATTTCTGCCACTGGGAATAGAAATCTAATCCCCACAATGGCAGATAAATACCCAAACTTTATGAAAAATGTGCCGCTCCCAACAATACTGCTGGCAAGTTAACTGGCCTGGGTTATTGATATGCTGTAAGGAGAGCAGAGCTCCAGTGGTTTTTAAAATGAATACTAATCAGCGCACTGAGAGACAGCTCAGCAACCCCTAATGGTGTCTAGGTACGAGCAATATGAAGAGGGATTGTCCTCCGTTTCAAACAGCCACCAAGACACCAGCTGCATTTTACATGCTTCATTTTTGCAAAATCTGATTTGTGGACCACACCGGAATACACAATGCGAGCTGGCTGACTAATACAGGAGACTAACATCGAGAGTATACACATACATTGTATCATTTCACAAGAGAGTGAAGATGAGTTAAAATCCAATCAGCAGCCAAGAGTCCCACACACACAGTTGCTGAGCTTGTTCCATGGACACATTTTAATTTTTATTTTAGGTTAACATTGGTATTGTTGCCATTGTAGCTGGTGTTATGGTAGAAAAAAAACTATCAATCAATCAGTTCTGCCTTTTGCAAAGCTGTCCAAAAAACATAAAACAAAGCATAAACATTAATTAGCAGTCTTCCAGCCGTGCTCGAGGAAGATGGAAATCAAAACAAAAGAGAGGTTTAAACACGAAAGAGAGAAAATGAAGTCTGCACACCAGGCGGAGGCTGCCTACAAGACAGAATACCACACTAGAACAAAACAAATTTGGGTTGAAGCTGTCTTGACGTGTGTTTCGAAGCGGAGTTTGCGCAACAGGCCTCGTCCAGAACAACCAAACGGCTCTGTACAATCTGTTCACATTTCTCCCACTTGGAACGTGATCGTCAGCAAGCCGGGACTCCCGGCTTGTATGTACGCAGTGGCATACAGGGTTCAAATGAAATCACATTTTGCAACTGATTGCAATAAGTCATACTTTTTCCATTAACCAACTGATGGGCAATGTTGCTGTGCCTGGCTCACACTGTTTAATGCCATTTCCACTGGCATTACTTGAAACATTCAGCTTGTGTGTCGGGGAGACATGGATGTTTTACAGGGCTGACTGCTTCTTGATGTTTTTTTAAACTTATTCCCACTTGACATTATCAGCCAAGCCAATAAAGAAAATATTTTATGCTATATACATTCTTTTACCAAACAAACTCTTAAGCCTTTTTATTTTAAAAACACCTTTCATTCCAAAATGCCTATATTCATTCCTGAGTTGGCACTTGACAATGCTTAGCTGCCTTATCTATTGCTTACTTCAAACCCAAACATTATCTCATTAAAATCTTAGTTCAAAGTTAAACACCGCACATCTGGTAAAATCCTAGTCAGAAAGGAAAAACATGTCACAGGGTGTTGTGTTCTCTCTCATCCCACCCTGATAAATAACATCTCTAACACCTGACTGCTGAGCGGAGTCAGGTTAGTTAGGGTAATAACTGACAAAGTTGCACGGTTAAGGAGGAACAGCAGCTGCATGCATAAATAATCATCAATGTGCTGCGTTCCGGTACAGTTCTGCTCCTTGGAAAGTGTTGGTAATAACTGCTGCTTTGTCTTCAGGTGTTGACAAGTTTGTTCATAACAGAACAAACAGCTCTATCGTACACAGCGGGGGGGGGGGGGGGTCACATTGATGAAACTTCACCCTAACAGCTGCAAGATAGGATACAACATTCACATGAACAAAGTTTGCAGACAACTTCCTGTGGCGCTTTTGCTAACAAAGTTTAGGCTGTTTGACATGTACAACAATGTTTGCAGCAAGGTGAGCTGGCAGCTCAAATATAACAATAATACAGTTGTTTTTTTTTATCAATCTGTGATTATCACTTAGTTAAGGCTATGACGTACCTTCACGTTATGGTGTAATATTAACTACTAAACGAATTTTTACATGTTACAAACTTCAAATCATTGACACCATCAATTAAAGAAAGATTAGATGTCTTATGATGTAAGAATGACTACTTAATAAAAAAGGTGAATAACATTAAAAAGAACTGCTGTATACATGTTACTGTGTTAGTATATCCATATACTGTGTCCATCTACTCACTAGATAAGACCATAACTCCATTTATAAATGCTCTTGACTCTTAACTCGTTGAAGGTTCTACCAGATTATCTCTCTCCCCTAAAACTATAACTGATTTGATCTTCAGCAAACGTCTAGAGAGTGTTACCAAATCTAATAACATGCTTAGTGGATTCTCCAACTACTGCTTGACAGTCAAGAACAATTAACGTCAGATGGGACTGGACTGTTCTTAACGACAAATAACTACCTGGCTCTTTTAAGGCTGTGAGTTAAAGGCGTGTGTGAGAGAGTTGGGAAGGATGACAGATAAGAAAACAGAACCGGCGGCTGGAGTAGTGGTGGAAGAAATCAGAAGAGCCAGTGACAGCAGCATGTTGTGGGGTTGAAACCAAACTTAACAACGCAAGAAGCATGAATGGTCAGCAGAGTGAGAGTGTGAGATCAGACTGACTGCTTTACTGACTTGAATGATGGTAAGAGTCTGCCGATACTGATTAGCTGACTCCATGTATAACTGTCAAATGTCAATTCCACCTTCTTGAAGGAAATGATTTGCTGCTTTTCAATGTTTTATATGATAGTTAAATAAATCTATTTGATTTATTTGTGTGGAACAGTCCAAAACCCACTTTGAATACACTACCTTGGTATCTGGGAAATTGTGACTTGAGCATTTTTCAGTGTTTAATCCTTTGTCAGTAGTTTATATTGTCCAGTTGTTGCTTCATGAGTCGCTCCCATTTCTGCGTAGAAGTGTATTAATGGTGGATTGTTTCTAATATTAGTGACTGTTCAGGTGTACTCACTGTTGCTACCCGATCGGTTGAGGCGGTGCATTGCAGCGTTCTCTGGTTCCCGGTAAGGAAACTGCAGCGTGGTGTCCATACTCCTAAAACCTTCTCTCAGGGAGTGGTGTTTGTAATACTCAATCAGCTCCTGGACACACACACATAAGAAGTATACAAACACTCATTTACATTTCTGTTTACTGCATTTACTGTCACATTTCTCCTGAAAATCAGTTTGTAAAAATAGATAAATGACACGTGATAGAAACACCTCTATCAGTTACACATCTGTCAAATCTGATGAAATAGCACTATGTAAAAAAATATGTGATGCATTATAATATGTTATGAGATCGGACTATGACTGAATATACCACCACATTGGAGAGAACATTTGATCAGGTTTTCTAGCCCTATAAAATGCCACGAAAGTATGTTATTCAAATACAGTTTTGACACACACACTAGTATTCAAATATTTTACTCAAAAAACTGTTTTTAGTAAATCTGAGACACAGAAAATACAGTCCTGGCATCAATAAAACTGGTGAAGCTTTCCAATATGCAATGCACTTATCTATAATGCTGAAGCCCTCAGGCCAGTATAAACACGTCTCTAATCATGGCTATTTTTGTGCACACTGCTAAACTAAAATTCAGGTTTTGACACTTCATTAAGCGAACACGATGATTTATTTATGAATTGCAGTGGTGGAATGAAAATAAATAAATAAAAAAGGCTGAAAAGACTCACTGATATATTCCTAAACTTCTTGTTCTCTGCGATGTAGAAGCAGCCCTCCTTGGTCAGGATCTTTATGTGCTTCACGTCGTTGTTGTACCTGTGGGTCATTAAATAAGTGTAATTTCCATCTCTGATCACCGCCATCGATTGGTGGCCGGCCCTTGGCCCCTATGTGGAGAGCACGGCCATCGCCGTAATGCAAAGGGTCCCGAAGGTTTGTGAAACAAATGATTGGTGGTCAGGAGAGAATGTGCACATGTGTGTACTGGCTCCCTCCCCAATAATGTACTCATGTTTGCATTAACAGGGTGGCTGATGGGGCTCTGAGGCTGGATTAAAAGCTACCGAAGTAGGGGGCAGTCTGTCATTTATAGTGTTAGTTACATAAGTTAAATTATGTTTTAAGTTTACGTTAAAACAAGTCAACGTAGACTTTTGGAATTACATGGAACGCAAACAGCAGAAGGCAGGGGTAGGGTCTTCTTATATAACTAATTTTTTTATTCTACACATAGTGGCTTTAATCTATAAACTCTCTGTCAAGCTATCAACTACTTTCAGTACAAGTCTTCACACAACATAATCAAGCCATGTGTGCATAAATTACTTAGACAGACCTGGTATACAAAGGGGACCTGAACATAATAAGACCCAATTCCAAATTGTGATCGACCGAAAAAGACCCAAACAAAGAGAGAATTAACACAGCATGGCAGTATAATGCACCTCCGATAACTGAGCAAAAAGAGCAACCGAACATTTCTTTTTTTCCTTCACTTCAAAGTTCTCACTTCTCCTCTCCAGGTCCTAACTGACCCAATTAGAAGAAGAAGAATTTGGACACCTGGCCTGACTCTGCATCAGGCCTTGGTCACTAAGAACTGAGCTGGACTTGTCAAGTCAAAGTTTCAAAAACTAATAGTAACTTTAAAGCATCAATGCTAGAGCTAAGAGTTGCTGATTTTAATGTTAACTGAACAGTTTGATATTTTATTTTTATCTAAATAAGCTTTTGAGTTACAAGTAGGTTACATGACAAAATCAAAACCACACTTATCTGTTAAAATAAAGCTACAGCCAGCAGCCGGTCAGTCTACCAGCACTTTTAAAGCTCTGTAATTAACAACTTGTATGTTTTTTGTTTTAACTCTTCAAGAACTGAAGTGCAAAACTGACAAACGGTGGTTTTACGAGGGATTATGTAACGATTTTTACACTTGAAACAAACAAGATATCGTGTGTTAATCAGTGTGATTTAGAAGTGCTCCTAGAGCCAGGCTAGCCGTGTCCTCATGTTTCCAGTCTTTGTGCTAAGCTAAGCTAACTGTCTCCTGGCTGTAGCTTCATATTTAGCATACAGTCATGAGACTGGTATCAATCTGCTCATCTCTCTCTCTCTCTCTCTCCATCTCTCTGCAAGACAGCAAATGAGAGTATTTTCCAAAATGCTGAACAATTCTTAATACTTGACAATTTAAAATGTAACACTGTGGCTAATAAAAGTTGCAAATCTCAAACTAGTTCTCAATGTTATAAATAAACACAGAATTTAAAATTTTGAGAATCTTTTTTTAAGAGATTTAAAGAGCCAGATTTACTCTTCTACTGTGTGTGGCCACAGCTATCCAGGAAGCAGCCTCTACTTTTGGGGAATGCAGTAAATTAAAATGCTAGAGCTTTATTTGCACAGAACTGGGGGTCTCTTGGCTATTGGGCTTTACATAGAGAAACAGAGAATGAAGGAGAGTAATACTTTTTAAACATCCCACAATGCCTTTCTATTTATATTCTGATTCTGTCTTCATGAAGAGGTTTTAATAACCTTGAAGAGTCTTAGTTGTTCTCTGTTCTGTTCAGAGCATCTGTGCGCACACAAGCAATTAAGACTTCAGCACAGAAGGAAGTTGAAGGCACTGAAAGCGGTCCATTCTGCGGATTAAATGAAGTTTAAAGGAATGTTTCCGACGCTCACAGACAAGCGTGCTGGCTCCCTGTGATGGAAAGTTTTCCAGCTCAGAGACTCAACAGGAAGAGACACCTGCGTTTATACAGACGGTAGTTATCTTATGCACAGAGGTAAGTTACAAACAATGGTAGGGTCACTGACACACCAAGGTTGTGAAATGTGCTTTGTTAATTTCTCATTACCACGATTAAAATGGCAGTATTATTCAAATTATAAACGAATCAGATGGTTTTTGTGGGTTTTGAGGTCAAACCGTAAAGCGTCTGGTTTGGTCAGCTTCAGACACATCACTGTGGTTAACCACAGACTCTGCCTCAGAGGAAAAGCACATCATCCTGCAGAGGAACTATAAATCGGTGCATCAAATTGTGCAGTATAGCCTGGGACTTCCATCTAGTCAATACTGTGGTTTGGCTAAAGGCAGCTGATGAATCTAGCAGGCTGAGCGGCCGCAGAAAGACAGAATAACTGTCATGTTAAAGAGAAACAATACAATCTGATGATCGTTGTTAGGTGGACCCAAGACAAGCCCATAATTCTTACTCAATAAATATTCAAATTTACAGATTTACAGTGTTAAATTATATATAGATTATGTATAAATGTTGAGAAATTAACCTCAACCTCAAGATGATGGATATATGTTGTTATAGTTGTTCAATCTGTTGTCTAATTTATTGAAATTCATAATTTACACTATATGCTAACATTTAAAGGACAGTCCCATTATGAGTACAAAAGAGCCATTTTTACTAATGCTAATTTTTAATTTAAATCGATCCAATTATAATCAGAGGTGGTGATACTGGCACTGCCTGTGCATGTGGCTTGATAGAAATGTCAGCCTTACTTTATACTGATGGCGTACTCTGTGTACTCTCTGCTGCGATGGCGGACCAGGTAGGTGCTGTTGACCCTGTTGATGAGTTCTGCCTCCGCCTGGAGCCTCTCCATGGGCCCTGCAAACCTACAACACAACAGCCCAAAAATACATGAACTTGACCCACCTAAAATTCATTATGGAATGATACTATCGTTACTGCCTGCACACCACTGTGTGCTGTCCTTTACAATCTCTATGATAGCTGTTTAATTTGCTTACACTTCAGTCAGAGCAGAAACTGCTTTGATACGCTGCAGTTGCTATGTGTGTGAAATTCAAATAAGTGCATATTTTGTTATTGTCTGGGCCAAATGAATCTCTCCCCAGCCTGTAGCTGGTTTGTGTCATCTGATCTTCAGTGCATGCTGCAGGAATTTACATTTGCTACATTCACTGTGTTTTGCTCCATCCGATAAAAACCTGCTCTATCCAGTTAAACATAAAACTTTTGTTTTGTGAACATACCAAGGTTGAGAGGAGTAATCAACGGGCTTCGGAACCTGGAGCAAAGAGCAAAAGTGGACATGTGTTTTTGTTATTGTCACGAAGCTGTCACTCATCCAACCGCAATACAGCGTACACCACTACAGTAAAATCCTGGAGTCAGTTGCAGTTTTGCTCTTCATAAAACAGGTGCTTTCACACTGTACAATCCCAATAAAATAGCTGAATTATTACTATTATTCAGTTTAATTTAGCAAGGACAGTGCACATTAATAAAACATTGATGTAAATGCACCAGAGTTAGCCATTAGACTATTTTTCATCTGTAGTCCCTGGACAGTTGTTACATCTAAAAACAAAAATTAATTGAAAAGAGTCATTTAAATTTATGAGAGCATGGAACAAAAATGGCAGAAAATTATGCTCTTATCTTTAAAACAAGTGACATGGTGATAATAGTTTTTTATCTACAGGATGGATCACATTCCTAAAGCAGCTGGACATGCGAATTTCATTTTATGAAATAGAACATGACAATCCAGTGGTGGAGAGATTTATAAAATTGGACAATAAAAACAAGCAACAGATACCCGAGTTAAGTCGTTGAGAGAATGCACACCATTTCTCCAACTTCTCAGCTTTCCCGTTTAGTTTGCACAACATAAAGTATTCCTTATTCCTTTTAAGACATCGTTTTGTTCCTTGCTTCTTACTGATAAAGTGAATTAGACAGTAAACCACCGTTATCTCGTAAGACAAGTTCCTTGTGCCCAGAACATAAAAACCCATTGGTTGTTCTTCTTCTCGTGCCAAGTACAACAGCTCACCTCACCATACTCACATAACTGAACTGCTAGGAAATACATGTAACCAAATGCGGGCTGCAACAACAGGTCCTAATGTAGCGAAAGGACTAGGAGGAAATGCTGCTTACACATGGGCAAGGCTTCACAGCATCGCTTGGAAAGAAGCCAACCTCCTTCTTCGACAGGATTTTGCCCTGAAACCACAGAGAGATAATTGCGTTATGTACATCTGGCTGGCTCTGTCTCCATAATTCAGGAACAATTAGCTTGCAACACAGAGCCGAGGAAATTTACAGCCCTAGTTAACTATTGTTGAAATAATGGCTGGCAGGAAGAGTGAAAGAGCACAGGAGTTCCTTATTCCTCCCATGGTGATGAGTCTTTAAGCTCAGGGCCTTGATTTATAAACACTGGGGAGACTTAGTCCATATAAATAGGGGTTTTCTAAAGTTCATAGTGCAGTTATCTTCTTCTGACTGACTCAGGCGCAGTGGGTTGATTTATATGTCATGGATTTCATTGCTGAAATCTGACACTAAAAAAAATATTCGTTTTGTGCATTTTTACAGTTACATTCAGAAATGAATTGGTTAAAAACCTTCAACCTCTTTAACCTCCAAATAAAATGAATGTTGTTGGTAGATCATTCTTATCTTGAGGGGTAAATAAAAAAATACAATTTAATAAGTAACTGATCAGGAGTAAATACACAGGAACCTGCAGCATGCATGCAGTCTATATACTTAAAAGGCATGTTGTAGGTTTTGGGGTCATCCCTGTCATATCCCTGCTACCAGGACATTTTGTCAGTCCTTATGGAAAGCCTCGCTTGCTGCTGCATCCTTGCTCAGGGTGTGATAATGATTACAGTTGGTAGCATTGACAGAGTAAACCGATGGCTACTGTTGAATGAAATTAAATTACAGCAATCGATTCTATTTGTCACGCACCTCCAGAACAGAAACGGTTATGGTCTGCTGGCTACAAAGGCGATAGATATTGAATGTGTGCCGACCGCGGGGCTGTAGCGCTTTTACACAGGGTTAATTGAATTCTATATCTATTTTATCTGTGTTGTATTAAGTATGGTGAGATGTGGTGGCTTCTGTTACATGTCTGCTTAGAACACAACAGTACAGTAGCTCATGCCAATACAATGCCCTTTTCTTCAGGCCACAGGTAAAAATCTCATTATGATTCTTATGATGACATTGATTCAGCCTCTCTTAAACACCCACACGGTGAGTGACTACGGCACAACAATGCATCAAACTTTTCTCCTCCGGTGAGGTTTCAATCACATGTGTAGTCACATAAGAGTAATGCATGAACCAAACAAACATGTCCAGTGTGTGAAAGTTTTATTTCCTTATAAGATATGCTGTACTGTGTGTACAAATGTCTGTGGGTGTATACCATAGGTGTATACATGTTACAATTCTTACAAGTTATGTAAGAGGTTTTTTGTTTTTTTTCCCCTAGCAGCTTGTTAGCAAGAACTGTCCAAAAGACTTTCGCTATCTTGAGCCAGATATATACAACTGGATTGCTATTTTGAACATGCACAGGCACAGGTGTAAAATGTCCAACTAAAAGATATGTTTATGTAGACATTACGCTATAACTGATACAGAACAGGACATTAATGCAACATCCATTTGATAAAAAGTGGACCGTGCTGACTCACCAGATTTCACTTATAATAAAAGGGCAAAACTGACTAAGCAATATATCATTCTAGCCATATTACAAGAGTATGAGGTCAGGATAGCGGCTAGATGGAATGACAGTGGAGGAAATGAGAGATTTTAATACAGTAGGTCCCATTTTTTAGTGTTGTGAAATATGTGATTAAGAGATAGTGTGACCTCTGACCTGCCACCAGGGGCTGTGAAGGTCGGCGCAGATTAATTCGATGATGTCACCAATCTGGATGCTGAGCGCGGGGCCAGACGTAGGGCTGGGCACACCAAGGTAGTTCCTGATTACCAGCATCTTAGGCAGACCTGCAAGAGCGACGGGCAGTTAGTTCCTGCGTACTGTTTGCAAAAATTGCTACCAAACATAATGAACGCCACTCAACTGGCACTATATTGAGAGTGAGAACCCGAAGCAGTTCTGCAGCTAAAGGGTTCTGCAGCTAAAGGGTTGGCTAGAAAATATGAGCCACAAAGGGATTTGAACTCATTTTTCTGCAACCAAAAAGTCTGGTTAGTGTTGCTGAATCCTCCATTTGGAAACAAATTTGCTTCACCAATATCCACTGTACATAAAATATTATTTAAATCCACAATCCTTGCTTTTTACCTAATCCTGTAGGATATTATAAATGTAAACATATTAAATGTTTTTAAAGTCATTGCAGTGTGTTGTGTGAATTAATAAAATGTTTATATCGTGTTTATATCTATTTTACATTTTATGATTTAAAAAATTTTTCTATGGGCCATAGGTTTGAAAAGTGAATTTAATTGAACTGAATGCCTCTGTGAATTTATACTGTAACCGACATGTGATCCTTTGATGTGTGGTGATGGTTTAACCAAACGCTCCTCGATTTTTAAATTAGACCTGAGTAGCTATATGAGTAGAAAAGGACATAAAGTAAGTCTAAATCCATCCCTTGATTCCTTCCACCATGAATGCCTGGCTACATGTGAGCCTGTCTACATGTGTGTGGGTGCATACATGCGCCGTGTGACCTCAAGTCTAAAAGGGCATGTTTGCCATTCTAAAGGTGCATCTTTATGCTTCTAAACTATTCATGGCCCCATTATAGGTGGTAATGAGATGGTGTATACATATGTACACACACACACACACACACACATACATACAAACACTCCCCTTGTCACCAGTGTACTGCCCTTTCAAATCATTTGGACCCATTATCCATTATATTACAGATAAGCAACAGTGCACTCTGGTACATGGCTGGTTATCGGGCTTGGAGATAAAAGATAAGCAGGAGTGAGCTTCAGTGTGAGCACACGATGTATTCTGACCTCCTGGGGGAACTCATATGGAAAATCGAATCAATGTCATAAGCGCTTTGTTGTGTTACTGAGATTTGATGAAAACTAGTCCTAATCACATTTCAAATAAAGAATTATAGGAAAATCATTATTTTTTTCCAGTTTACAAGTCAGTAATGGTAATTTTCCTCCTTTTTCTTAGTTACGTTCAGGTTCATATACAGCTTATGCTCACCTTCTAGAATTACCAGTGCATGGACTAAATACGGCATACTACTCCCCAGGTAATAAATTACATAGTAGTTTTGGTTTGCACTGGCACTAAGAGAAATACATTTTAATCAAGCTGAATTTGCTTGGTGAAATGACCTCAGTCAGCGCTATTTGATTGCACTATGACCAACTTTGATCCCATTATTGACCCAAGAAATCACTGCAATTGAATTATAGCACATCTGTTATGGCACCCACCCATGCCAAACAAATCCCAAGTTCATATCTCATATGCCCAACACAATAAAATGAAATATGCATATCTTTGTCTGCACTGTGGCGATAGTGTTGTGCAGGGATACAATGTGAGGAAAAAGAAATTCAAGTGAGCGCATGAAGAAAAGGGTAAAGCTTAAGGCAAATAATAGAGAAGTCAACAACATTGTATTGAAAGCTAATACATCTGTATCTGCCTTGCCTCTCTTTCAGTGTCTGTTCCAGTGCTGCAGCACTGTGGCTGGCAGCCTGACATGTGGTAGCTTGCCTGAATAGGACTTCTAAAGACACATGGCCATGGAGAATTGGAGTCTTGGGGGCATGAATTGCATTCCTATCCACACAAGGACAAGCCAAGTGTTAGTGCACCTTTGAAAATAGACAGAGAGAACAGCGTCGAAATATTATGAAACACCACGGGCTGGGGCAATCAAATGCCTATTGATTTTAATGCGTCTTCAGTCAGAAATGATTTTCTGCAGCATAATGGATGGAGGGGTGGAAAAATGAGTGTTGAAGCCAGGTTTATAAGAGATTAACAGTCCTTTGTGTAGTGCAGGCACACACATACACACAACGTAAAGGACGCTGTACATTATTCCTGTTCCACTGGAGAAAGACTGAGAGACAGAGAGCCACAGAGAGGAGGAGGCAGAAATAAAACGGCTACATTTCCAGCATTTACTGTACAAACCCAGTAATGTGCTATTTTATGCAATATGGTCTTGGTTTTATTCCACTTAAACTAATGTTAACATTACCCTTTCTCTCTGACTGAACCAGGATACCGTTGGAAAAAACATTATGATGGCACACCAGTAGTAATAAATGCACACCTACAGCCAATCCTGACAAACAACCTGATAGAGAAACTTCGAGCATACTGGTTGATTTTGTTTGTTTGTTTATGTGTCTGTGTCTGTGTGTGTGTGTGTGTGTGTGTGCGTGCGCGCGTGTAAATTAATTCATCCATATTTCCTGCTTCTCAAAATGTGAGGATTTCCTACTATTCTCAGTTTTATATCATTATAAAGCCAACATCTTTGTCTTTTGGACTGTTGTTCAGACAAAGTAAGCAATGTGAACAAGCCACCTGTGGCTCTTTGAACTTGTGAGGGGCATTGTGCACTATTTCCTAACATTTTTTTTGTGATTCTTTTAAAAAAATGTTGATACCGCTTGGAGTATTTTTTAAGATCATCATAATTATAACATATAACCAATTGGATAGTTTTGTTAAGGCTAAGATCAGCTGATACTTGCAGACAGTTGATATACAGTGTTAGTGCATATCAACAGCTGCTTGGATTAGCTGCCAAAATCTGGTTATTTGTTTTAGGAGCAGCAGTCTCTATGCACATAAATATTGCCAGTGACAGAAAAAAAAACAGACTACAGTGGAGGAGAGAGAAGAATTCCTGTCGGGTGGGAGGAGGTCTAGTGTGTAGTCTTGTTTTCTGAATTCCTCACCTGGATCTTTAGACGTGCCCTGAAAAAGTACACACAGAGAGTTACAGTCTGAAACAGGCACATGCATGCACACACACAAACAAAAGCGTGCGAACATTTAGACAGGAACACTTTGATCTTGATCAAAATATTCACTAGCACACACAAATTACTGCCGTAGTGGAAGTGTACATGGTAAATATCTTAAGTCATCATGCAAACTGCGTCCCCTTTGACTAGTTTATAACCTACTAAATCAATTATTAGAAACACTCTTATATTGCTGTGACATGTTCAGACACACAGCCGAATTATACTAATATACTCCTTACTACTGCACACATAAATTAATATTTTATCCCAGCCTGCTATCTCCCCTGTACAGACCACACGCAGCAGGGCCCGGCATGGAGAACACAACACGACATGTTAAAACCCAGATCGCATGCAGTGAAAGTACAGCGTGAAGCAGAAATATTTCAAAGCTGAAGAGAGCAGTTAAACTGATGTGATGTTTTCTTTTGTTTTTGCAGAAAAATATATTTGTTTTTTGATGATGCAAAGGTAATTCCAATAAACAAACATAATGTATGTTTCTGACACTTTATTTATTTTTTTTGGTGAGGGTGAAAAACAGAAAAACATGTAGACAATTGGACATTCTACAGTATTTCGACCCAAATTAGTACTACTGCTTTTACTACTACTGCTTCTAGCAAGAATAACAACAACACAACAGACTGTATGCAAGCACACATTTTGTGTGAGCTGCATCAGAGCAGTTGGTCGACAAACAGGGACACAAGTCAATTTGACCCCAGGTTTGTGATGATAAGAAGGTATAATTTTTGTATAGAAATCCTCCCTACATAGTGCAGTATTAGCCACAGTTATTGGCATACTAAATAAGTTGTTATGAGCCTAGTCTAATTTCCTGTTTGGGGATACTTGTGAGTGTTGCAGCAGCAAACAGAAGTTTCAGAAACAGCACAGACAACTCAAGGTAAATCTGCAGAAACATTCTCTTGTCAGGTAGGCCACGGCAAGCTAAGTCAATTGGAGTCTCCTTGGCAAATAGCTGCAGGAGAGAGCAGTCTTCAAAGTGCAGCAGAGCTTTGGAGAGGAGGCGAATGGCAGACACAGACAGACAGTGTACACATCAACACGGACGCACACACACACACACACACACACACACACACACACACACGTACGCACAGCAGCAGCTCACCTGAGTTCTGACGGAGCCCGGATCTGAAAGAAGTTTGAGAACAGGCATAGTGAATGACGGGTTAGTGGGTGCACGCAAACACTTGCACACACTCGTCGGTACAAGGCAACACTCCCTCATTAGTGAAGAAGGCGGACGCTCGTGTCTGACCGAGGTTCGCTTTGTTTTGCTGCGCTGCCACTACCTGACAGCTGGGATAGAGGAGGTAACGAGGCGGGTGGGGTGGTTAGGAACAGAGGGGAGGGGGGGGCAGACCTGAGGTTTTTGCTCCACCAGTTTCTTTCATTGGCTCCCTGAGGGATGGGTCACACCCCCTAGACACACACAAACACATACCTTTGCACACACACACACACTCTCTCTCATATGTACCTGTACAAACAGAACAATTGCATAAACACAAGCATACCTCCACACTTACACACATGCTAGCTGGCAGAAAGCCACAAATATATATAGTACCTGTACACACAAACACACAAACACACACACACACACACACACACGTCTGCCAGCAGGCCTGTTGTTCCTCAAGTGAACTTTGACCTGTTACGCAAACATCTGGTAAGGGATCTGATAAAACAGACAAATGTAGGTAAACAATGGCTTATCTGTGACACACACGCACACATACATACATAACCCTATACAGTGATGCTGTGATTGTGTTTTTGTGCGTGAATGAATTTTAATGCTGAGGTCAAACGGACATCAGCAAAAAGGGGTGCAACTGCGACAACAATTTATTTATTTCTGAAGTTTCAGACTTCTGAAAATACTTTTACTTTAGTATGTTACTTAAATACTGCTCCTCACATCTGCACATTTTCCTGTAACAGCAGACGGTGAATACTGTGCGGAGTAATGTCAGTGGGAATTCAAACCAACATCCCAGTCTTCAGCGGCTCTGCCGCCGCTGGTGTCGCCCAAATCTATTCAGGTAGACACTGTGCCCAGGTGGGCCTGGCAGTGGCGTTATTGCCTCTGCGCCCTAATAGCACCATGACAGATGCCAGGTCCAACAGGAGCTGGCAGCTTGCCACGGGGAATACAAACACACACACAATTGCGAGACGCAGTGTTACAAGTGCAGTGTGTGCGGGCTGTAACACTAAGACTTGCACACTTGCACACAAGCTTGGTTTTTCTTAAATGTTAAATGCAGAGGTTTAGTGGTAGGAGAACACGAGTATGCACTTTCAAGACCTAAAAGAACTTCCACAAACAAAAAGTGTGAATTCTGTTTTTCACCTGTTCGTTCTCTTCCTCTCTCTCTCTCTTTCTCACACACACACACACACACACACACGTGCTGAGGACATGCTAAGCTGGTTTCTGAAGGCTTTCTTTACACTCCACATGTCTGAAGTTTTCCTACCATTTCTTTCAGAGCTGTGAGTGCTCCTGCACAGGGAGCCAAGTAACAGATACACAACAGGAGCATAATAAAAAAGTCAGGAGTTTCTTACAACTCCCCAGTAAAACTACTATCAAGCGTTGGGGATCGGTACAATGATACACAGTGACATTGCCTTCAAGGTGCTCTGAAGTGTCAAAAACCACTCAGGGAAGCGGGAGAGTTTTTGAATGAATATCTGCAATACTGTTCGAATACTTACATGACCTTGGTTGGTAGAGATAAGGGCATGTGTAAAGTTCCTACTTATTTAGAGAAACCCCACTAATTCCCACAAGTCCACCCAGTGCAATCATTTCAGAATGTCACTGGCACTTTTTTCAATCACAGTGCAACAAATCTCGCTCAGACCCATAATTAGTCACAGGAGACACTCGTACATCAGGTTTTATGCACCAGTGTGTGTCATCTGTCATTATGTTCATACTGCTATAAAAGTGCAGTTGTGTTCATACAATTACATTTAATGTGTCCCTTGAAAACATTTTGTTCAGTGACAAAGTGTTAAATTGCTGCTGACTAGATGCGACTGACATGATGTTGTGCAATAAAGTGAAAGACTTATTTAAGGAATTAAGGATTTTTGTGTGTAAGCAGTGATGTGTTACCTGTTTTTCCACAGGACCCAAACCGGGCCAGGCATTCTTTATGAGCACCTAAACCACACTTGGAGCACAGGTAGCCCTGGTTAAAGATGCCCCTGCAGACAGAGAAACAGAAAAAGTAATCTGATGGAGTGCTTGACAGTATACACACAGCAGCAGTCCATCAATGCAAAGAACAGAAACATTACTGTCATGCCTATTGTAAAGTATGGATCCAAGTTGCAGTCAAAAGATGACCCCATTTCTGACTTCTTAGGAGGGCCAACAGTTTGGAAAACTACAGTAAATTTCTCTTGTTTCAGCCACACTCCATGCCTCCATGGATGGAAATGTTGGTCTAAATATACCAAATATCTCAATATAGACATATTGATAGACTTTCTCGCCCCAATCTGGACGAACTGTAATAACTTGACTCCTTAACATTTCATCTTTGGGTGACCAATTATTGACCAAATACCTGCAAAATGAATTGTATTTCTTTCAGCCTCAGGTTGCACTTTAGCTTAGCTTATAGAGCTTTAGCTTATTAGCAACTGTTAGCATACTAACATGCTAAACTAAGATGGCGAACACATCCTACCTGCCAAACATCGGGATTGACAGAGAGGTACATTCTACCTTCATTTCAACCAAAAAACTGCATCAGCTCATATCTAGCAAATACTGAATGTAAGAAACAGGAATTCTGGCGGAAATGATGTGTACACCGTGTGTAGTTCACTTTTCATTTACATAACCGTCTGAGAGGCCCTAATTAACATGACATGAAAGTAAAGGCTGCTTTGCTCTGCTCCCAAGATAATTATCTGTTTAACCTCTTTGAGAAAATTAGCATGGAGATAACCTGCAGGTACACTACTTTTTTTTTTTTTAGTTCAGAACTACAGGGTGCATGTTGCACTGGGGTAAGAAGGGGTAAACAGTGAATTTAAACCATTAGGACAGCACTCTTAGTACTCATCATAGTAACAGTATCATGCAACAGATATTAGACTTGATTAGACACAGAAAATCTGATGTGACGCACCAAGAATAACTAGATTTACAAATACTCATTTTTGCTGTAGGTTCTATAAAAAAAGATGTTATATACTTCTTAAAATCACAGAACACTTGACTCATGATTCATAAAGCTATTTGATATGTGGTGCCCCTGCCTGTAAGATAAGCGGTTACATTTCTTTTGTGTCTTTTCAAGTTAATAAAATGTTCTCGAGGTCTAGGACAAGTCACAACGAAATCGTCCAAAGGACCAATCAGTATTTAAAGACTTGAGAAATAATCAGGAAAATAGCAACACCACAGGAAATACTAGGAGACAATAATGACAAAAAGAGACCTTCCCTGACCTTATTCTTGTTTTTCTGATATCCTCAGAAAATGTTGGTGAATTCAGCGCCTCTGTATATTCACAGCGCAATAACCTTGTCCCCTTTCCCTACCCGCCGCCTTGAAGAAGTGCTGAAGTGTGACAGACATTTTTCTTTGCTGTCCTCGGTAGGTGAAACCACTCAGTCGTCCCCGCTGTGAGAAAGACCACGAGGCACAGTCCTCTGGGTGCTGATACCATTCAGCAAATTCAAAAGGAACTTTGTGTAACGGAGGCACATGTGCAGAGGAAGAGAGGAGCAAAAGGAAAGTGACGAATAGATTGTTAGGGTACACTGGAGAGGAATAAGAGGAGCGGAGTTCTTTCAAAGGAGTCCTGACAGTTGTTTGAAGGGAAAGGGTCCGCGTCTCGTCCTCAGTCTTTATGTTTGACGATAGCCTTGAAGAGATTTTTGTGCTGCCTGTGTGTGTGTGTGTGTGTGTGTGTGTGTGTGTGTGTGTGTGAATAATAATTGGCCTCTTACCTCAGCAGCATGTGGCAAGAGTTGCAGGAGGTGATCCTTTCAAAGGTGTGCATACGAAACTCGTGGAAGTTGTTAGTGGCATTCTCAGGACGAATGTTGGATCTAAACAAGACATAACACACAACAAACATTAGCTACTTTCTGAGGGTTAAAATGAAAGATTGTATTTGTTAATGAATATTCTGAAAAGTTGGTTTCAATATTGTATGTTTAGTATTTAAGGTCATTTATATGTCTCAGAAAAAAACATAATATATATGCATTAACATTAAACATTGCATTTTGTAAAAAGTGTGTTTTTAAGATAATATAGTTTACAGATAAGATAATGTAGGTATATTGAGTATCTAACATGACTGATAATACTGTAGCTCACCATGCCTGCTGAGGCATAAAGCATGCTGTACTGGAGAAGAGTTGCGCAACATGTTTTATTTTTGATGGACTCGCGCTTGTCTGTGCTTTGCTGTGTTTGCATTCTCAAAGTAAAAAAAAACAACTAAACTTTTACTTTTTAGGCTGATTTCCAACCTACCAGGATCCTAAAAAGTAACTTGCATCAAGTTGAAGCTCGGTTGAGATAATTAGTCCATGAGAGTAATTATTACATAATGCTCTCGATCTAGGGTTTGTGTTGAACATTAACAAAAAGCAATTAAAGCTATGTTTATAATATATAGGTAAACACTGACAATATTGTACTGTATGTGCTATTAAAAATAATATAATATAAAAATAATGGAAGTTAAGTTAAGTTAAGACTCAAAATCAGAGCAAACTGTTGAACCAAACACTAGCCGCTATTGTAGGTTGTACTATAAGTTACAGATGAGCCCAAATTAATGAATGAAAATGAGTTTGTGCGTGTTGCCCATTTTCTTACAGTTTTCAAACAGCTTTGGTCTTTGATGAAAACCTCTATTTCAAAGCCAGGCAAAAAAAATATTTTTCACTTATAATTGCATCCAACAAACTCTCTTCCATGGCAACAGTAACATTTCACCGATACAGTTCTTTGAAGTGGGAAGGAGAGGACTGCACGCAGACAGGCAAGGTCTGCTTGAAGTAAAAGCACGTATTCTTGGCCCCTTAGGACATGGAGGCATGTGGTGTGTGTGTGGGTGGGTGTGTGTGTGTACAGTATGAGAAAGAAAAAGACAGGATTTGCCCAATTTGCCTGTAGCACAAATGCCAGTTTATTTGAAATTTATGAGTCCTTCCTTTGTTTTCCAGTGTTCAGACTAGCTAGAGATGATTGTTGCATAGATGTTTTGCTTAATATGCACAGGTACAACTTGTGCATCTTAGGCAACTCAAAAAACTCAAATAATAAGTAAAACTAATGGGGTACAACATGTTCTCTGAAAAACAGGACAAACAGCGCTGAGATGGAAGAAATTGTCAAAGAAGAAAAAGAGACCTTCAGTGGCGTCTCCTCTGTAGTCAAGCAATATATACGTGACGATTGTTGTTTGCTAGAAATTGCGTGTTAAAGGCAAGAAAGATCACATTGAAAGATACAGAATATGTCGCTATAGCATGTTTACAATCAGCTTGACTTTGATAGTATGACTGGCCTCTTCCAGTTCCAGTTTCTGTGTACTGAAGCCTTTAATGCTGTCCAATAAAACCTCGTATGGTCCAAAATTAAAAATGCAGCCGAGAGGTAGCCACGTGTGTTTTAAGGACTCTAAAACAATATGACTTAATCTACAAGTGTTCTTCTGACTTTCAGGGACTCACTGCTGTTCAAGCAACAGTTTGTCTTTACTTTCAATTTCCTGCACCCGCTACGTGGAACAGTGTGTCTACCCAACCCCTCAGGGCTGCTGAATCTTAGTAAAGCAGCAAACAGTGGGTGGTTTGGAAATAAATGCGTCACGTGAGAAAACAACTGTTCACAGATCAGCCATTGAGCATCGCTGTGGGAGCATCCTCGCAGCTCGTTAATTCAGCCCCGAAAGTTAATCAACCAAAGCCGCTGTTTTCTCAGTCTCATTTCACACCGCCCATCATCTTCCCAATCCTCTTCTTCACTTCCTGTTAAGGCCTGTTGCTTTCTTTTGATATTTCTTTTCATCATTCCCCCTTTTCCCCCCAGTTATTTATTTCTATATTTTCATTGTAATTGCACCTGCTTGAGAGCCCCACTGTGCTTAACTAATTGTCTCTGCTGTCACTTGCAGTTAGGTTTCATTACAACAATAACAATAACCTAATCTAATAACAGGCATCTGAGCTCTAACTAAAGGAGATCCAGGAGGACTGGGAGAGTGGTTATCAGAGGGGGTTGTGCTTGGGTTGTATATATTTACATATCTATGTGGAGTGTAAAGACTAATGAACATTATGAAGTTATGTCTACTATGTGGTATTCACTAGGGCTGAACAATTAATAGAAATATGGAAATGGCGATATGGCCAAGTGCAATTTCCAAATCGCAGGAGTTGCAATATTTTGGTAAAGGTCAAATATGTCACAACATACCATTATAAATCAAGCACTGTGCTGCTACAGAGACACCACGGCCTGCAAATCATATCCTCCAGATGTAAGGAACACATGCTTGTTTGGTGCAGACCCCAGCACAAATCACATCTCATCATCATCATTTTGATATTTCTTTCAGTGAAATGAAATTAAATCACCCAAAAAAATCATAGTAATATGTTTTTATACAAAGGATTGACCTTAAGGGGTTACCGCAGCATTTTAGTATCGCAGACTTGAGAGAGATACATTTAAACAGGAACTGTCAAATCCAAAGCAGCAGAGGCCTAGATGTCCTGACTTTAAGAATTAAATATTTGATCCTGCATTTCCCATAATGCAACTCAACAGCATCATCTGTTAGACAAGTAAATGCATCTCTCAAATTTATCACCTTTGGTTTGAAATTAAGTCTGTTAAAAAGTCTGTGTCACCCTGACAACGTAACTATGATATCATCAGGGTTACTTTCCCAGACTTCATAGATTCTCCAGAGCCACAGAGGAGACTACACAGCTGTCTTCAACTGCTTCCTGCGTCACCTGATTAGTACTATTTGTAAGCTTGTACTCTTCTGCCTTGTTGTGCGAGTTGTCATTATTTTCCAGGTGCCAAAAGACATATTCACTGCACTTGTCGTCCGTGAACGAATGAACTGTGGTTTTATTTCATTGTTTGATATTAGGAAATTAAAAGTTCTGCCTAACTACTGGGCCCCCTGCTGTGGATCAAACACCAGCTTCATGCAACAGTTCAGCTAACATCTTCACGAAGTTTCAAGTGGTATAAATGTGGTATAAGATCTTTTACTGTTCTCCTTTTTAAAAATCATTAAAACCGTATGCAGTTTTTTTACACTTTTGACCAATGTTGTATGAAGTTTAGACTGACTTACTTCTGTGAAAAACAGAATGGCTGGTAAAGATATTCTATCTTTCTTTCTCTACATGTCAAATACTATAGCTCCGTTTGTCACTCCTGGCACCAGTTTGTCAGTCAGTGTAGATTCATTTGGATCCAGTTCAGGATGTGGACTGGTTGATGCAGTTTAACAACAAGCACCTGATGCTGGAATCAAATTTAACCAATTGTGTTCTCTTAAGTATAGGTACTAAATGTTTATAAAATACTGTAAAATCCGTGATTCAAATGTTTGACTATTATGACAATGCTACTCATGCATGAGCTTAAGAGACCGTGACGCAATTTTTTTGTGCATTTTCACTCAGGTTTTGCTTTTAAAAGTAGGTGTGCGACATATCATCTGTTCATTTTTTTGTCACAGCGTTGTGTCCCTCACAAATCACCAGGCAACCTAACTTGAATAACAGGACGGGCAACATGTGTGTTTTGATGCTGTGACAAAATGCAGACAAAAAAAAAGGTACACACTCTTATCACTGTCACGCATGAACTCGCACACACACACACACACACACACTCACATGGCCATGCCAAACTGCTCCAGCCACTTCTTTTTCAGCTCTTTGGTCTTGAAGAAGAATTCAAAGCCACTCTGGCCCTGGTTGTGAGTGAGGTAGAATCCGTAGGACCACTGCAACAGGAAGAGAAAAACACACACATTTGAGACCGGAAATAAAACGACGGCGAAACAACTAAATTGAGGGTTTGAGTGAAAGACAAACAGAAGCAGGATGGGGCAGGAGCTGAAGTAGACAGGATGCAGGGAGACAGATGGAGACAAAGAGATGCAAAATGAAAGAGGGATGCCTCGGGGAGAGCAAACACAAAGGGTTGGAGGGCGGCAGAACTGACAAACAGAGACAAGACAGAGAGGAAGAGCATGAAGGAGAAGAGGAGGGGAGTGTGCCATATAACTGCTGGGCATCAGACAGCACGCACAGACCCAAGTAGTGAGTGGGCCTGTAATCATCTACCATTACCCGCTTCAAAGGCTAAATATTAGTCTATTAGTCTTTGTGTCAACACATGCCTCTGTTTTTTAGATAGCGTCACCAAACAGATGCTTGTGATGCACTTTTTATGGCTCCTAGTTGTGGTATTGAGCTTCTAGCACTCAGCTCTGAAAACATGCCAAGCTCAGAGTGCTGTCAGTGAAGCTCATCTTTTTCTATTGAAAGAGAAGAGAAAAGGAAAGCAGCTCTCTACAGAGGCATTCCCAGTGGACCCCAAGACTTAACGCTCAGCAAAGATATCTCCGGCTACCAATTTGTAAAGAGGAGGAGGTGGTGTTTGTCTGTCTTTCCATCCCTTTTTTTGCTTGGTTTATCTTTTGGATTTGAAAGGATCCCACCTCCAGACAGATAATGAAAAGTGTTTCTTTGTTGATTTACATAAAATACAATTAATCTGACACTTGCAACACTCATGTGGGTTAATGTGCATGAGTGGTTATTCGCAACATTCAACCGGCAGTAACCATTTTTGGCACAACACAACAACATTGGTGTATTACGTCTTAAAGGTTCAGTGTGTAGGTTTTAGTGGCATCTAGTGGTGAGGGTTGCAAATTGCAAACTAATTGCAAGGAAGGGCTCTACCACTGCACAACCCTCCATTTGCAAGCGTGTAGGAGAAGCTACAGTGGCTAATAGGCTCTGTTGGCTCTTGTGCTAAATAATACGTGTGGTCCTCTACTTGTCCAAATTTCACTTCTCTTCTTACTTCTTACAAACCAGATGACTACTACTACTAAAACTACTACTACTAATTCTTCCTTCTTGTATTCGTACATATTCAACGTGGTGACGAAACACACTCTGTAAAGCAGTTTGGCGACTTCCATATAAGGTGACCCGCGGTATGTAGATAGAAATGACTCATTCTAAGATAATAAAAACACAACAGTTCTGAGAACATAGTTAGGTTTATTATATTGTATTTCAATAGATCCTCCTAAATATTACACACTAAACCTTTAAGTTAATATGTCCCACTTGTTTTGCACACAGCTGCCTAGTTGCACATCCAGCAGACACAACAGCTGTGTTTCCTCCCACTTGGCAAATGTCAGTCAATATTCACTCTACTTTTTGCTCTGTTTTTGGTCTCCACCAACTTCTCAGAGAAATATCTGCCTGCTAAATGTCTGCACGTTCACCATCCCCCGACTGGACAGAGTCGGGGTAGGCTATCTGTTGGTTTGTCCTCACGAGCAACACCTTAGATATTGACATAACACATAATCTTTTGATCTTTTGTTATTATAAAAATACAGATTACAGCAGCTTTAATAGCTGAAATACATGAAGCTTTCATTCCATTATTTCCTACTGCAGAGGCTCACACCATCAGCTTTTGCATGGAAAATGGCATCAGTCCAAACGTTGTTCTGTAACACTTTAGAAACAATTAGACTTCAGGGGTTTTTTGGTTTTACCACCAGATGACTCCCACGATGAAGGTTCTTACCGCTGCTTTCCTCACACAGTGTCATCTTCGGCAATTCCATAATAAATATGTAATCAAAGAAACTGCATCATATCCATCATGCTAGAAATGAATGACACTGAGGTAGCTGAAAGTTTCATTACATAAAAAAGAACTATATAAGGCCATATGGGTCTAAGCCTACTAATGTCTGCTATTTACAACATCATTATTGCCCAAATCATTGTTTCCTGGCACGCCTTAGATATCATTCCCTATTATGATTGGCAATATTTTTCACCACTTGGCACTTAGTATTCACTGTGTGTGTATGTGTGTGTGTAGTCAGGCCCAAAGCGAAGGTTTAATGATAACACCATCTGGGACGAGGCAGGCTGCTCTAGTCTGACACTGTTTCAGCATTATGCTGGTAAACGAACAAGACAATGTAAAACATGTGCTGGAACAAGCATGTACCAAATTATTTAAGACTCTTTTCTGTTGATTGTTTTGCGTTATGAGCTGGAAAGATTTTTGCACCAAGTTAAATTTAGCAGCACATCGGGGGATTCAGAGCACGACAGGCAGCAGTGGGGTGTAGAGGCTGGTACAGGTGCTTACAAAATACAGTCAAGAAGAGAATTAAATCCATTTTTAGTTGATTTTATGAACCTGCATTTATCTGATAAATTGTTACGGCTGCTCATTATGCTGAAGTAGCGCTGTTAATTGGTTTGTCACGAGTCCAACATGGTTTCTGAGCTTTGCTGACTCAGTCATAAAGAGGCAATAATGGACTAAACAGTGCAAGACTTGCCTCCATTATAGCTGATTGGTTGTTATATGAGATGCTTGTTTTGTTCTTTTTCATTTACAGCATGTTAAGAAGTACGTTCTATTATTTTTCACTTTTACAGCAACAGAGAGAGAGAGAGTGAAAGTAGGAAGCAGAATATGCTCACTACATTGTTCAAACCCTGTTAGGATGGACGTGGCTTACAGCCCTGGGTGAATATAAAGTATCATCAAAAGCAGTTTTAGCTGTTATAAAATCACCGTAAATCACAGCTTAAAGTGGGTTATTGCTTTCTGAAAATGGTGATAACACACCGTAAAATTAAAAGCTAAACGCTCAAGACACATTTTTCCTTTTAAGTCACTGAATTGAATCCATGTGGATTCAAAGTGACGCCACCCATCACTCCCAAGAAATTGAATCTTCCTTGTTAAGGTAAAACAATCAAATTGGACGTGTGATTCACACTTTCCTCTCAGCTGTGATGGATCTGGACTAAGAAGTTTTAACTGTAGAAATAAACTATTTGGCTGTCAGAATCACTGGGACATTTTTTCATTGGATTAAAATTCAAAACCCATGTTTTGACTGATGGCAGGTCTCATTTTTGTGTGCAGCTCAATAAAGAAGTGGAAAAATCTGTTTCAATATTTTGTGCAAATATGAGCTATAATTGTGATTCTTTTTGGGTTGAGCTTGATCTAAATCTATGTTTCTGCATGTCTGACGTCAAACACCATCACTGTGGCCTTGCCAAAAGTGGAAATGAGGTACTCTCTTTGAATCGAAAGGGAAATGTTCAAAAAGAGATGGGTTGCTGCCAAATAATAAAAATAAAAAACAGAAAAGAAATGAGAAAAAGATGAAATGACTAAAAGATGTGCCAATATCTTTTCCAATGTGACGGCCAAGTTTAAACTTGAATTCACCTGGGAGACCTGCTCTGGTGGGGGGTTCAAACCTGACCATGTTGAACAACACAATGGATGTCCAAGGCTCTCCCTAACAAAATCAGAACAGTTACATGTTCCATGTCCAGCATTTCTGCTATTCTTCTGATCAAATACTGTATTGTATTTGATGTCATACATAAATTCCTTGATTTTCCTGTCTGGGGTCTATGTGTGTAATAAACACTGCTGATAATCACTCAAATACTAAACCTTTCTTGAATTAATAGGGGCTGCAATCAATGGCTTAAAGACCACTAAATATAACAAAATAAAACAAAGTCAAGTCTATGAAAATCCTTGCTTTCAAGTCAAAATGTCTGCAGCAAAAAGAAGTCTATTGGTGGCGGCTATCGACTCCCCCCCAAACGTTTTCTTGATCTTGTGATCTGAAATTCATATATTCTCTGCATTTCAGCATGGAGAGAAAGAGTCAACTCAACAGGGCCGTGTCTCAATAGAAACCACATTCCCACGCGCGCACAGACCTTTCGGTTCTCCTTGTCCGACGTGGGATTGTTGGTGATCTTGAAGAGGTGCAGGTCGATCACTTCTTTCATCTCATAGTTGTCTCCTCGCCGCTTACATACAATCACCGCCGCATCGAACAGGAAGATGTGCCTGTGGTTCAAAGAGCGCCATGTCAAAGTAGCTGAATACAAACTTGACGCACCAGTTGCTGTTTTCATGCTACTCTGCCCACTGCACTTTGGGAAATTCTACAATATGCATTTTTTCTAATACAATAATAGCAATAAATATGAATTATTATACATTATATGCCTCTTTCTCAGAACTCTGTGTTACATGAAACTGGACTTTTAATAATTTGTTTTTGGGAAATTTTGGGGATATTCTGCGATTCAGGAATGTCTGCACCTACAGTCCCTGTGAAAGCTTCGCTGATATGGACTGCCTCAAGCTCAAGCAACCTGTTTTAATACACAGTAGTCCTCAAGGTAGGTGACGAGCGAACGTAATACTAGTTAAGAACGGCATGCCAAACAATGTAATTTGTGTTGAAAAAGTTGTTTCATACAAGATACAATGGTACGTGACACACAAGACTGTGCAAAAGTAGTTAAATATACTGGTGAGATTTTAACAGGTTGGTTGTTCTTTTTTAGTAGTTGTAGATATTGACTGATTACTTCACTTTAGTTTTTCACTTACAAGACAGTTTCTAAAAGCACTTAGGCTTAAAGTAATATGCACCCTGGCAGTTCTCCAACCATTGTACCTGATTCTAGTTGCAATCAGTCTGTCAGTGTTTTTGTCAACCAGCGTGTCATCTCACCTGTCCTGTTTAGCTCGTTTGTCCACCGAGGCCACCCGTACCTCCCCGTCACCTTTTGGTCTTCCATAGTTACTCAGAGGCTGATTCTGCAGAAGAAGAGAAAAAGAAAGATGGGTTGGAATCAAGAATTCCCAAAGCGTTGAGAAGTTGCGTGGTCAGCCTCTTGTTATTTTGAAAAAACAGGCAGCTTACCAGGTTTTCGATGGATTTCTGATACTGATCTATTTCTCGCAACGTCTCGTTGTCTCTCTTGACTTCGTTAACATACTGAGCCAAGTCCTGTGAACAAACCAGGAAATAAAAAAGCATCTCCTTTTAATTTTGCTCCATCCATGGTACTATTTTAATTGTTTTTCACACAGGTGGGATAGGGCTATATAAATAAACTTGACTTGGCGAAGGACAGGACTCTAAGCTTTAAAGTGAACAGCCTTTGATGAGCAGGACTTATAAATGCTGCAATCAGTGGAAGACTCATTTATTTATGGGTAGTCAAAAGTTGTGGACTTGCAATGAAGTGCAATATCTTATAGTCTCTTTTCAGACAGGACCATGTTAGTTTGTGAGCCGACACAAGCTTTCATAGCAGGCTGAGAACATTTCACTAGGAAGAGGGAAAATATTCATTTAACACAAATGCTAAAGATGCTGGTTATTATGGTTTAGGATAAAATAATCCTAAATTAATGAATAACTTCATAAGTAAGTTAACCAACAATCCAAAAACAATAATGTATTCCTTTTAAAGGCCCTAAAAGACCATTACTCAATTAGCTTCTTATTATACTTGACGGGGTCCTGTATGGTCCTGTATATGAACACAATATTTGTCCAATGTTAGAAGCTGTTAGATGAAACTACACACACACACACAGTCCTATTGAAGCAAATTAGATGTGTTTTGTAATGCTAAACTCTTAATAAATAGGGTAATAAGGTTTCCCCCACCCCTGACTTTAACAAGATAAGACTGCATTGAAATGAAATAAACTTGATAAACCGGTGATGTACCTTCATGGCATCCAAAGCCATTCGCAGATTACTCTTGTCAGTGGCATCATGTGTGTGCTTTACCAGCTCCTATTGGACAGAAGCAAATCACACACACACACACACAAAATATAAGTAAGCAAGTGTCCTTTGAAAAGCTTTTTCATATTGTTTAACTGATTTGAAGCGCTTGTGACAAGCTAATCATATTATATATATATATATATATATATATATAAAATTATATACAAATTATAACTGTATGCCCAAAAGTAGGAACTGGAAAGAGGACAGTTAATCATTTTATGATTAACAGCCTCAAAGAAAATCATGAACATGGTTATCATGCTGCTAACACACACTATGGCCACATCCCACACATGAGAAAGTAATGCTTTGACTCTAGATATGAAATGAAAAAAAGGTTACTGCAAAAAGAATCCTGTCCTGAAATAAATCAGATAGTGTGTGTGTGTGTGTGTGTGTGTGTGTGTGAATCTGAAATTGCTTGCCAGTGCCTGGTTGCAGCGTAAACAAGACATCTAGACCTCAGCAGTGGAGGATAAGGGAAGATTCCATGCATGTCTTTTGTACAGGCCCATACAAACTATGTCCACATACACACACAGATACACACACACACTGAGCCACTAAGGGAGATATATATGTCTGCTCGGCACTGCTCAAATCCCTGGTGTCAGTCAAGCTCAACCTGGGCATTATTATCGGTAGCAAGACGGCAGAGTCCCATTTATCAAGCCTTGCTCCCACCTCCACGCCATCCACAGAGATACATAGGAAGGGAGTGGTCGCACTGATAGCCAGGACCATACTCATTCAGGGAATCATGTTTGTGGGGTGTTGGAGGGGGGCATAGGTGGGTGGGATGATGAGCAGAGGCAGTGAGGAAGAAAGAGAGAAAGATTGATGACAAAAAAAGAGGGAGAGAAATAAAAAGCAAGAGAGAGGAACTCAGGGAGCGAGAGGAAGTGACAAGACATTAGTTGTACAGATTTTGGCTGTCACCATGTGGGAAAGTAACCCAGTGGATGCTTTATTTGGTGCAGCTGGCTATTACCTGCCTGTTCCACAGGGATATCGGCCCAGGTTGACACAACGCAATCACTTTGTTCCTCCAGGGCTTTTTTTTCTCTTGGTGAGAGGGGGGCTTAGATCATAGCCTTTCAGAGAGCCTCATTTAGGACTTTTTTAAGAGAGAACCCTGATGGAATCCGCTCATTTCTGACAAAACAGGCATGTATATTGTTATGGTAAATTGTTCTGGAGTCATTTATGATTGGACATGCAGATAATGGGTCTGTCATTCATTAGTGAAGGAAATACGCTCTCTGATACTTGTATTAAATGCATTTTACAGGTAAAATATACAGTACATACTATACTGCAAACCAAACATCTATGGCAAAGAAAGGTCGAAATAATTCAATCAATTCAATTTTATAAGCAACTAAATACCTAATTGTAACTACTACTGAATAGTCATTGTTGACATTTCGATTCCATTGAACTTACAGAATTAACATTTACTTCCAATCAGAAATTTACAGAAAGTAATTTAAAAATTTTTATTTATTAATCTTTGTATTTCCAGTCAACCATTTAAGAGTTCTGGGCTTCCGGTCTCTCACCTGAAGGCTAAATTGCTTCTCCTTGGCAGCTCAAAAGTTGGACTTTTGATATGAAAAGGACCAATTCAACCTCAACAACTTTAATTTAGTTATCTGAGTATTGGACTCTTGAATTGTGAAGCCTCAAACAAAATAAAACAAATCAGACCATCCTGCTCCCCTGAGGTCAAACATTACAATGAAATAGTAAAATAAAACAAATTTAGACCAAAAAGCCTCTATGTGAGTAAGCAGCGAGGAGGTAGTGGTGCCCCTCTCACCTCCACTCCCACACAAACACGTACATACACACACATCTTTTCAGCAGGAGGAATGCTTCTGCTTCTTTTTCATTAAGCAAACCCACGTGTACATTATACACAGACCACCTTGAACCTGTTTGACTTATCCTTTGGTATGCACGTATAGTGTGTGTATTAGACTAAAAGGCTATGCTCCCCCACACACACACACACACACACACACACACACACACAAACGTATACTGACATACATACACATAATTTACATCTGCTACTATATTACATGTAATATATGTAATAATATATATATGAATGTTTCCATTTCCAGTGGCACGTTAGTAACTTCTCGTTGTCCACAGCCTCACTTCAGCTTTAGCTTCAGATTCTCACCGCTTTAAAAATACTTCACCTCTCTTTCTGTCTCTCTTTAGTTGTTTGTCTGCCGCTCTCTCTCTCTCTCTCAGTGCTCCCTTCACTTTATCTATTTTCTCTCTCTTCCTTCTTGATTGTCTCGATCAGATGACAATTATGTGTGGGTCATTTCAGACTGGAGAGGCATAAAGAAGTAACTGAAATAGACCGCAGGAGTCTCAGAGCCTGAAGGACGAAAGCAGGGGATGAGAAGGAAACATGATCAACAGCACCACCTAGTGACTGTGAGGCCTCTCGCTCATTAAGTCTGATTGGCAAAGATGGAGCATTTGATGAATCAAGAATTCCCTGATGGTGCTGTGTCACTTACTCATAGTCATCTATAACGTCAGTTAAGACTTTTAACTTCACTTGAAAGTGTTTTGTGCAATGATTGGTTTGCCAGGGCTAAAGGGGGGAGCAGCTATAGCAACAGCAGCAACTGAGTATGGCAGAGGCAGAGCCTACACCTCATAAGTGCGTCGACAGTGTTGTGTGATTACTTTCACTGTCTGGAGAGGGAGACTAAAATTCCACAATGTAGGTTTAAGTGAAAGAAAAAATACTCCATTATGAGTCAAAGTCCTGTTTTCAGAATTTTACTTAAGTGAAAAGTACAGAAGTATGATCTGCGAACTATACTCAAAGTATCAAAAGCAATTATATTATTTTTATATAGTTATATATAATTATTGGATTATTGTTTTTCATGCAATAACATGTATGCATCATTTTAATGTTGCAGCTTGTCGTGTAGTTTACTTTAACTACTTTATATTGTGTTGTAAACTATAAACATCATATTTTATTGCTGATCAAATGTTGCGTATGTAAAATATTAACCTGCAAAATAACTACTAAAGACAAGATCAGATAAATGGAGTGGAATAAATAGTATAATATTTTAATATAATACAAAACAAGTATTGTAAAATAGAAACATTCAAAAAAAGTAGAAGTACGTGAAGATTATACTTAAGTGTAGTACTTGAGTAAATGTTACTTTCCCCTGCTACTTATGCACTTTGTTGCAGCAGGTACCCGTGGCTATTTGATACTTCAAAACAGTGTACGTTGTTTTCCAATGTTATTGAGAAGGTAATATTTATGTTTTCACCAAGAACGTGAAGCAAAACCAGGGCATGATGACATCAGCATATCTACAGTATATTAATCTTGAGTCAATGATCATTTTGGTTAATTTTAACCAACTTTCTATTCATTCATTTTTGTTTTCGTTTAGCACCTTCTAAACTGCACCACATAAGCATGGAATCCTTCTTAATTCTTAACCGTAGCTACCAGTCTGACTCTGAATTAGTCAATCTAAAAAGTATCAAGCTGCCATAAACCAAAATGACACAAGTGCCCAAAGAAATTTACAAATCTTAAGTGATAATCACTATAGAATATATAGTGAATATAATATAGAACACTTTTTGTGCCTTTTTTCATTGAAAGTCTACATGTGCCATCCTAACATATATAACTAAAAGATGAATTGCCTTAAAGAAGTATATGCTCTACTCTATAAAAATAAATAAATTATTGTCTGATTTTTTCAGTTTGCTCGAAATGATGTATACATAAAGTTACAGTACTATATATAAAACATCCGCTGCATATTCACAGAAGAACAGATGGAACAGTTTTTAAACTTTTGTGTAGAAAACTCAAGCCACTGAACTGGTTTCCCAACATTCACAGCACTAATTAGAAGGTCATGGCTTTACATCAATTGACATGACAACTTTGTGACTACAGTAAAACACTAATATGATAGGTTGGAGTACTGTACCTGCAGGAGGAGGTGATACTTCAACACTCGCTGCATAGGAACCACTAGCAGATCTCTCAGCGTGAACTTGCCATAGTTGGCTCTCTTTGAACATTCCTGCAAGAAGACAACAAAGAAAGGAAATCAATAGATTATCAATTATAAACAGACACCTATAAAATGTATTCTTTATATAAATTCCAGCTGCTCTTAGTAAAAAAGAACTTAATGTAACTTTTTTTTTCACTTTCTAGAATTGAGAACAGTGAAAGTATGACTCTTAAGGGGCAAGCTATTAGAGCTTATCAGAACAATTTACATGCTGTCAGCAGTGGTGTTGTCACCTGCAATGCCTCAGGCATACACATGAGGGCATTCTCTGACTATTTTGACAAATGAACATTGGCTCTAAATAACCATTTACAGACACTAAAAACGTTTTACCTCTAGCTTCATGCGTAAGTCCTCTCTGTCTTTGCAGATGTGATCCAGAGTGGCGATGGCTGTTTCCACATGGCTGCAGTATTTCCCATAGATCAACAATCTGGGACATAAGAACACATGAAGAAAAGGCAAAAGGACTGAGGTCATTATTTCTAAATTGGACATTGCACATGAATCTAAATGTGAACAAAGAAGCCTGATATTATTTGTTGACTTACAGCAATTGTGTCTAAGATACTGTATAACAGCTTATCAAGTCTTATATGCACATGATTTATTAAAATTAATTAAGGGTGTGTGTAAACACTAGAAGAGAATAAATAGAGAGGAAGGAGAGGTTACAAAGTTCATAGTGTACCTCTCTTTGAAAGTGATGAAGATCTGGTAAAGGTTCTGGGCACTTCTGTGGTGGACTGAGTCTTGGATTTCCAACAGTAAACATTTATGAACTTTAACCAGTTCCTGAAACACACCAGCAAAGATCCTTTAAAGTTGATCTCCATCAAATTTCTGTGATGACAGTGTAAAATCCAAATATTTTCTGTTTATTAACACGTGATGAAGAAAAGCAGGGTTATGTTGCTGTTTATCAATACAATGATTAATCATCTCACTTCAACTTTAATTAGAAACTAAACACGTTTAAAACAAAACTAAAAAAAATGTAAAAAATACCTGCTCACCATCAACATGTTAGCATTGTAATTTTGAGCATGTTAGCATGCTGACGTTAGCATTTTGCTCAAAGTGCCTAAGTAGAGTCTCATGGCTTACATGGAGCCGCTTACATGGCTGTAATGTATTTAACACACATTATAATGATGTATAAACAGCTGTGTTATAGTTTGGAAAATAAAAACAGCAATAACAATGTGGCATTCACTCATTATTGATTTTATTCCACATGTGCTTTTCCTAATGTGACATGTCAAAACGTCTTTAGTAAAAAAGGCCCTTTAATGAACAGTTTTGTGACCCCGTTGACCACCCAGTTGGATTATTGCACTGCAAAGTGTAAAGTAAAGACAATGACTTACCGGGATATTCACAAACAGCTTTTCCATCTCAGCCATAGATAAAAACATGGTGAGGGGCGTCATAAAGTGCTGCAGCAGAGAGAGAGAGAATGCAAGAGAATGAAGCTCGTCGCCTCTAGAGCGGGAGTGGGAAAGTCATTTTGCGAGAGGCTATTATATTATGGGGCCGAGTTGCAAAGAGCTGCAGTCAGCAAAAACAAGGAGGTCTGTCTGGGTCACAACAATAATCTCATTTTCAGAGTTTGCAATTTAATGATTTCCTCACAGAAACTCCCGCCGCATAGTCACCTCTACATCTCAAAGGAGTGGGCGAGCACAAACTAAACTCCACCATCCACTTCATATCGAAAGTCATCTACTGAGATACCCCACTGGGAAATCTGGTGAGGTCTTTTTCCAGACGTGAACGTACAAGAGGGAGAAGACAAGTAGCTGTGGCTGGGATTTAGGGACAGGCAGGCCTCCCACGGTCCTGCAAAAATGCAGGGTAAGGTGGAAAACATCCACGACAAAAAGGGGCTTTCTCATGGTTTTGGTTTTTTGGTGCAGTTTGTTCTAAACAGCGGCCGCTATTAATTGAAAAATAAAAATGTATTCTTTCACTCATCTCTCTCTGGGAGTACAGATATGTTACACAATATATATGTTTCCCTTATCCCTTGTACACAAAAACCAAGTCATTACAGTCTCAAATTGCAAGTGAGAAGGAGGCCAAATTGATTGCGTAAAATCAATGGGGTGGGACTATTTTCACCCAAAGAAAGTTAACTTTACTTTCATTTTTGCCCCACATCAACTCAGAGATCAAAGAATAATTCAGTTTTTGATCATATCTATTGGTTATTATTATTGGGTATTGGATTTGTACTATTTCCAATACTGAAATTATTATAATACTAATTAACTAGTTTTAACATTTTAACAGTTATTGAAACAATACACTCTGACATGTTCAGAATAGAAAATCACTTTGTTTTATCGTCACCTAAAATGGTTGGGAACCACTTATGTAAGTAACATCATTTGTAAGATTTACCAACAAATCTAACTCAAGCGGCAATCTCCGTGAAGCCAGTGCCTAAGTGTCCTAAACCTGCATTCTTTCTAGTTGTACTAAAAGACACTCTAAGGAGTCGGTGGTACAATTAAGCCTGTTTTTTGCAAGCCAAAATTAGCATCCCAATTAATATCACAGTTAACGTGAATTACAGATGCAGCTTACTAACTAAGCTAGCTAGCTTAACCCTCTTGTCCAAATATGGTCACATCTGGTTCCAAAAAAAACAAGATGGTGACAGCACAAATTTTCAAACTCAAGTCTTCAAAACCATAGTCTACAAACCAGTGGGTGACGACACGGTGTCTATGTCAACTTCTTTTATACAGTCTATGATCTAGACTTGGGCTACACACCCAAGATTGCTTTCAAACTATGTGTATTTAAAATCAAAACTCTTTAAATTGTATGTGTATCATATAGAAGAGCATTGTATTTTGAACCACAGTGTCATTATAAAGTGACAAAAACAAGCCCTGTTAGTCAGTGAGTCAGTACCTTCTCTATAGACTCCAGGGTCTCAGTGTATTTCTCCTCTGTCTGCTTGATTTCTGTTAAACAGCAACTCCTGATGTCAGTCTCTGCTTGCCTCTGGAACGCCTATGCACACACACACACACACACACACACACACAGAGGACTGTTACTATGTGTCAGCGCTGTGGGCTGACAAACTGTTGAGTCTTCAACCAGATGTAGTCTGTACAACTCTTTGAGCAAGGTCAGAGGTGAACACATGCTAGCTAGATGTCTGCCAATTATGATGAGGTACCTTTTTTTATTTTTACTGAACAAAGCATTTATAGTGTGAATAAAAATACAATTAACTTTAGATAAAGTTCTGAGCAAGTTGCCATAGTTTGCAGTGGAGAAAAAATATCAATTTGGACCAAAAACAGCTGTTCAAAAAATATCAAATGTGAAAAAACAAGTAATAAAACTGACATGAACAAGATTATAGTTAGTTTAAATCTAGAGAATGTTAACACTTAATTAGCATTTCAAAGGCACCCATATACTTTGAACATCAAGGTGTATTCTCCTTATTTCATTTTCAGTTTCACTAAATACACTGCTCAAAAAAAATTAAGGGAACAATTAAATCACACATCAAAGTTCCAAGTCTTTGCTGTACATTGTATAATTAATTGAGAACAAAATGACGTAATAACGGTCAATGGAAACCAAAATCACCAATCGACTGAGGGCTGGTAAAAGAAACTGAAATCACAGGCTGATCCCACTTGCTTTCCTCACGGCAACTCATAATGTGACTCAGTTGTGTGTTTGGCTGGACTGAAGAACTGGACTACCTGTGCAACCTGAATGGGATGCAGGTACCGCCTTATGCTACCAGTAGTGACAAGGACACTAGCACAACACAAAACTAGAGAGCAATCAGTCAGGAAGTATAAGGAGAGAGCAACTATCTGTGGCTACTACCTGCAAAACCATTCCCTTTTCCCTTTTTGGCGGTTGTCTTGCTGTTGCCTCTTCAGTGCACCTGTTATCACTTCCATCTGCACCAAAACAGGTGACACTGATTCACAATCGCCTATGTTTCCTAACTGGACAGATTGATATCTCTTAAATGTTCCATTTTTGTTGAGCAGTGTAGTACTATATTAAAAGTAATGTAGTAAAGTTCATCAATGTCACACACTAACAGTCCAACAAAACATATAAAGAGATCATTTTCGAGACTCCAATAGTCAGATTTAGCACGCTAAATATGAAGCTACAGCCAGTTGCCAATTAGCTAGCTTTGCACAAAGACTGGAAGCAGGCCAAAAAAACTAGCCTGGCTCTACCCAAAGGTATCCACCAAACAGCACCTCTACCACCTATATCTCATTTTTTACAATACAAAAGGTGAAGAGTGAACAAAACTTTATAAACCTTATAAGTGATTATCTCTGCTGGTTTCCTGCAACTTCCCAGGGACGACAAAACTCCAGAAAGTCACTGAGTCCAGCCAAAAAATAGTCCAGAATCACCAAAACAGACTAAACAAACAAAATATACTATATTGTGTTCGTTAATGAACTTTAGAGGTGCTGGTAGGCAGAATTTGTTTCCTTGGTATGGTGTCACGGTAGCTTCCAGCCTTTATGCTAGGCTAAGGCTGAAGCTTGGTGGCTCTAGCTTCATATTTAGTTAAAATACAGACACGAAAGTGGCATCAATCGTCTTCTCTATCTCTGGACAAGAAAGAAAATGTGCATTTGCATGTGCAAGTGTCAAAACAATTTCTTGTTAAATACAGGTGTTGACTCAACCTGTATCAATGATGCATTGTAAAGAGTTAAAGACTGACCGGGGGAGGGATGGCTTCTGTCTTCATCAGGTCCTCATAGATCTCTCCTCCATCTTCATCATCATACACACAGTCATACAGATCCTCCTCATCCTCCACCCCCTTCTCACTGAAACACACATGACAGAATATTGTAATGGCACATTACACCACACTGCTGTTTCATCCGTAGTTGTACTGTGAGTGGGTAATGGTTCTTCTCATGGCAACCACAGGAAAGATACACACAAAAAACCACACAGTGTTCTGGTTTTACACAAGGGGATTTTAAATACTATAGCAGAAATCGTGTTAGTCAGGGACAACACTTAATCCATGGCTATGAAAGTGGCTCAGAAACACACACACACAAGCAAAGACTTTTATGTGTGACGCCACAAGCCTGTTCTGACACACATCTGAGCCAATTACTCTACCTTAGCAACTGGCCTAACATGACATGAGTCAGTGCGTGTGTATTATTGTCCTTTTTATATATTATGTAACTTTGAACCAAATGTCCTCAAGAGGAAAGAAACGTGCCTTGTATGGTGCAGGTATATTCGGGGGGAAAAGAATAGAGGGTGAGGATTAGGCTGTGGACGTTAAAAGAGTGGGTGAAGAAAATCCTTTGCATGAACCCTGGCACACACAAGGCTGACAGGATGCATTTGAACCATATCCAGTAACATTAATACATCAAGGTTTTGGCAAAAAATACTGTAGACTGAAGAATGATCCATATGCTCCTGGTGGTCAGTATGTAGCGTGATTTGAGAGGTCAGAACGTAAGGTATAAAAAAAACACTGTTGTAGTTCAGTTACCTCTAGTTATATGCCAGATGTCATTGCATTATTTATTATTTTTTGCATCAAATCAAATGTGATTAGCGGCCACCTACTAACCTTGACCATCGTATAAAACTACACTTGACCGTTAGCTCATGAGTAGTAGCTACCAGAGCAAGGTCATAGTAGGAGGTATGTGTTTGGATCTTACTTGGCAGAGACCTTTCCAAAACAGCATGGCTGTGGTCTAATTTATTAATTTCTCCCCTACTCTTCTAACTCTTGATCTCACAATGTGGGATGCTGAGGGCAGTGTGGCTTGAGGCCAACAGTTCTAATATTCTGGTTCACTCGGAAATACATCATATTACAGAAGATAAATAAACTGAATATGAAGGCCCTGACGCATGTAAATGTTAAATGTTCGTCAAAATGAGAAATGTTTTGGTAATTTCATTTTCTCATATGATATGGATGGAGATTCAGTTGGAAAAAAGGTGATGTCGTGTTCTTACATCGACCGATCAAAATCTGATGACAGTTGGCGGGTTGTTTGGTCACTCCGTTCATCCGTTCAAACCACACCTACACCACACTACTGATGAAGATGATTAGCTTCGATGATTTTTACTGTTAAAGGTTCAGTATGAATGTTTAGGTGGCATCTAATGGTGAGGATTGCGAGTTGCAACCAATGACTCACTCACCGCACAGCCCTCCCTTTGCAAGTGATTAGGAGAAGCTACAATGTATGACATGCTCTGTCTGCTCTTGCGCTAAATAATGCATGTGGGCCTCCATTTGTCCAAATTTCTCTTCTCTTCTGACTTCTAACAAACCAGACTACTACTACTACTACTACAGTTCATCCGTTTGGGCTACTGTAGAAACATGGCGGCGCAACATGTCGATTTCCATGTAAGAGGACCTGCGGTGTATGTAGATAGAAATGGCTCATTCTAAGGTAATAAAAACATAACGGTTCATTATGTAAGGCCGTTATTTTAGGGTCAGGGTTACGTTATGTACAGTGCCTTGCGAAAGTATTCGGCCCCCTTGAACTTTTTGACCTTTTGCCACATTGCAGGCTTCAAACATAAAGATATAAAACTGTAATTTTTTGTGAAGAACCAACAACAAGTGGGACACAATCATGAAGTGGAATGAAATTTATTGGATATTTCAAACTTTAACTAATAAAAAACTGAAAAATTGGGCGTGCAAAATTATTCAGCCCCCTTAAGTTAATACTATGTAGCGCCACCTTTTGCTGCGATTACAGCTGTAAGTCGCTTGGGGTACGTCTCTATCAGTTTTGCACATTGAGAGACTGAAATTTTTGCCCATTCCTCCTTGCAAAACAGCTCGAGCTCAGTGAGGTTGGATGGAGAGCGTTTGTGAACAGCAGTTTTCAGTTCTTTCCACAGATTCTCGATTGGATTCAGGTCTGGACTTTGACTTGTCCATTCTAACACCTGGATGTGTTCCATTTGTGAACCATTCCAGTGTAGATTTTGCTTTATGTTTTGGATCATTGTCTTGTTGGAAGACAAATCTCCGTCCCAGTCTCAGGTCTTTTGCAGACTCCATCAGATTTTCTTCCAGAATGGTCCTGTATTTGGTTCCATCCATCTTCCCATCAATTTTAACCATCTTCCCTGTCCCTGCTGAAGAAAAGCAGGCCCAAACCATGATGCTGCCACCACCATGTTTGACAGTGGGGATGGTGCGTTCATGGTGATGAGCTGTGTTGCTTTTGACGCCAAACATAACGTTTTGCATTGTTGCCAAAAAGTTCGATTTTGGTTTCATCTGACCAGAGCACCTTCTTCCACATGTTTGGTGTGTCTCCCAGGTGGCTTGTGGCAAACTTTAAACGAGACTTTTTATGGATATCTTTAAGAAATGGCTTTCTTCTTGCCACTCTTCCACAAAGGCCAGATTTGTGCAGTATACGACTGATTGTTGTCCTATGGACAGAGTCTCCCACCTCAGCTGTAGATCTCTGCAGTTCATCCAGAGTGATCATGGGCCTCTTGGCTGCATCTCTGATCAGTCTTCTCCTTGTATGAGCTGAAAGTTTAGAGGGACGGCCGGGTCTTCGTAGATTTGCAGTGGTCTGATACTCCTTCCATTTCAATATTATCGCTTGCACAGTGCTCCTTGGGATGTTTAAAGCTTGGGAAATCTTTTTTGTATCCAAATCCGGCTTTAAACTTCTCCACAACAGTATCTCGGACCTGCCTGGTGTGTTCCTTATTCTTCATGATGCTCTCTGCGCTTTAAACGGACCTCTGAGACTATCACAGAGCAGGTGCATTTATACGGAGACTTGATTTCACACAGGTGGATTCTATTTATCATCATTAGTCATTTAGGTCAACACTGGATCATTCAGAGATCCTCATTGAACTTCTGGAGAGAGTTTGCTGCACTGAAAGTAAGGGGGCTGAATAATTTTGCACGCCCAAAATTTTCAGTTTTTTATTTGTTAAAAAGGTTTGAAATATCCAATAAATTTCGTTCCACTTCATAATCGTGTCCCACTTGTTGTTGATTCTTCACAAAAAATTACAGTTTTATATCTTTATGTTTGAAGCCTGCAATGTGGCAAAAGGTCAAAAAGTTCGAGGGGGCCGAATACTTTCGCAAGGCACTGTATATTATATTGCATTTCTGTCAATAGATCCTCCTAAATATTACACATTGAACCTTTAAACTCTGTTGTTGTTTAGTTTACACTGATTGTTGCTTATTTAATCATTAAGATTTAAAGTTATGGAGAAATTCTTGAGATTTGTTTTTTGGGGGGTTTAAAAAGTGTTAGGATTACACAAAACACAACTACCCAAGAAACCCCACTGGAATGTAAAGGTACAGGAGGAAAAAGGTGACTGGCATCCCTTTATTATTTAATAAAATGTCCATATTTAATAAATGTTCCACATGCACATATTCCAGCTACACACTGGATGTTTAGTGTGGAACATCTAGCAACCTTGATGTATCCACTAAATAATTTAAACATATAATGAGCCTAAAAAATTTCAGTTTGCAGATGTGAAGATTTATTTTGGGCTTGACTTGTGACAGTGTTAGTAGACAGTTGACTCTAGATGGGCAGATAATCAATTCAGCTGTAGAAGTGAAGCTCTGGTATGTGAACAGGTCTGTTTCTGTGTGTGTATTTCTGTACATGTTATGTCCATTTGATAGCCGCTGAACACTGAGCAGATGGGAGTTGAAGCCTGAACACGGCTCTGTTCAGTGTGATCCAGGCTACACTTCCACCTCCCACCCACTGCTGGCTGCTGATTTCCTGTCACAACTGACTTGTGGGCTGCTTCCTACTCTAGGAGCCGTCAGCACTAAACATAAACCAGAGCGCCGTGTCAGTGTAAGACTTCCCAACAACATTTCTACATGATCTGTCTCAACTGAATTACACTAGCCACACAGTTGGCAATGCCATATTTTTCCTTACCTGTTCATGCTTTATGCTTAGATCCAGGAACTTACATTTGACTCTTGGCCAACAATAGACGAATATGCCTTACTAATCAAGAGGCAACCACACTGGCTTACTAGGAAGCCACTCACTTAAACGTCAATGCAATGTTTTGATAAGCATGTACTATGAACAGAAAAAAATAGTGACTGACAGCTTCATTTAAAAACTCTTCACCATACTACCTTCAAAAATCCATATTAACCCAGCCATAGCAAAGCCTTTCAGATTCAGTTTTATATTGCTGCACTGCATTTAGAGAAAGGGCTTAGCAAGGCATTGTGTCAGGAGTCCTTTTTGTAATAGTAGGTGGAGAATGTAATGATTTGGTTCCTCGCTCACCTTCAAAGGGTGAAAAACACATTCTTTGTAGATTTGGTGAAGTATTTTTAAAATAAAACTGTTGAAAACATTAATCGTAAGAAGATTAGTTTTCTACTTATGTTAAATGCAAGGCCTGAAAGAATAATTAAGGTCAACATGTTGTCGGCGCCCACAACAGCCTGTAGATTTTTAAGTGGTTGGGAAAACTAAAGGCTAGATTAATGAATGTCTTTTTTTTAATGTACATACTCTATAAGGTCCTCCAGGTGGTTGTAGATATCCTCATCTTCGACACTCTCTTCCGATGGAAAGGGCCTTCCAAGAGAAAACAAAGCATTCTGTGTTAGGCTTAAGTTATATACCCTGCTGTTGGATACACATTGGATTGTATAATATTCTCACATTATCACATTTTATTGAATGTAATTTTGTATAAAATAATATCACAAAACACTATCACATTGTTTCATATGTTTTAAAAAATATCTTTTATTGTGTCATTTCACTTGAACATACCTGATTCCAGTTTGTTGTGTAATCGCTGTGTGGGAAAGTTTAGATAGTGTGTCCATTACCTGCAATGGAAATAAGAACATGTTTATAATTTCATATATTTACAAAACGTACAGCCTGGAAAGTAACATGGGCGCTTGTTGTTTGGGTGCTCTGGTGGTGCTGCATGTCTAAGAGGAGACACATGAGGGCAGCATTCTCAAACACTCCAACTTCGCTACTGACACCCAAACGCTGTGTGTTTACATGTGTGCAATGAAAGAGACATGTCACTCCATGAAGCTAAAGAAGTTACACAACCCAACCCATAGTCTGAATAAATTAATATTTATAAGACTACAATATTAATTTGGTGCCTTTTAAACATCCCCATGCGGCAATTTTTGTGTTAAGTCGCATCTGAAATCAGAACACGCACAAAGCCCAGTCAGATATATTTAGAAATAATGAGAGAGGTGTTAAATGAGAGATGAATGCTGTTGCTGCACAGAAATGACTCATTCAACACACAGCCAGCAGTTAACAGTAACTACAGCAGCAGAGCAGAATTACATGAACTGATCAGTAATTGATCACTTGATCGTGCTGTGAAGTTAACCACGTGCTCTCATCGGCTGACATGATTGCATTTAGTATGACATTTCACGCTGCGGTGCTCAGTCTTAGCAGTGCCCTTGACCCTGTGTGTGTTTGTGTTTGTGTTTGTGTTTGTGTTTGTGTGTGTGTGTGTGTGTGTGTGTGTGTGTGTGTGTGTGTGTGTGTGTGTGTGAGTGTGAGACCTGCTTAATTAAAAATCAACACGGAATTCTAATGCTATCTGAACGATTCAGATTTATTATCTGAATCACGACTTGACAGGGAGTTTATTCACTCTTTGCAACTTGGCAAATGGCCCACAAACCTCTTTTTTAAGGGTCATCTATCCATTGACATAACGCGCGGACGAGTTGATGAAAAAAACATGCACATGCACGCATTCAACACATCACAGATGTAATGCAGATACATTTGGCCTGGAGCACAAGCTCTGACAGATCAATACTGATCACACAACCGGCCTTCCCCCTTCCCCACCAGCAAATAGAATAAACAGGGGCACAAAGAGGACAGAGAAAGGCAGAAACATGTTTCTGCTGACATTCTTTAAACTGTACTACTGTACACCAGTGGAACTAATAACGCTGTAATCGTGTGTCACTGATGTAAAATATGTTCGTCCAATGTAGCATGCTGAATATTGATGGACTTCAGCTGTTTTTACTGACAGTATTCAGTGTTTTCAACCAGAAGGGTCTCTAATTTAAGGATCTCTGATAAGACGAAAAGACTATGCTGATCAATTGTGCAACAATCAATCAAGCTGTACAACACCCATCAAAATAGAAGGTGGGTGACACTGACTGACTTTGACAAAGCATTTTATCATCCCAGACATCAGATGCATTAGACTCATCCGAGGCGGCAGTGCATTAATAAAGCCATAAAACACACATTCAAGCTGAGTCCATTAGTTGCACTGATCAAAGGGAAATATTAGTCGCTAGCAGCTGAACAGTGGGAGGGTACAAAGCTGTGTTTGTCACAGGACTACACGGGGCTCAGCGGCAGGGTCTGATTACACATCATGAGAGGAGGAAGCAGAGGTGAACTGGTCTTTTACACCTGGATTTATGTGCATTTATTTCAAACGAACAAATAAGATTTAATGTGATTGGATATTAAAAAGTGATCCCTGGTGGAAGACCAGTGTGCCAGCCAAAGTACAGTCCATTTTCCACTTATTTATGCTGCAGTGTATTGTGTAAGTGTACTGTATTCTCAAACAAAATAAACATTCAGAATAATTGTGCCTAAGCTGTCCTCAGAGTGCTACATTTTGCTGTACAATGTGAAAACTTTTTTATCAACATGTCAGTTTAAAAACAAGAACCAAAACTAACACTTTCAGAGTCGATTTAGAAACATCTCTTAGCTAATGCACAGATATAAGCCCTGAAGTGGCAGCCAGGAGGTTAGACAGCCTCTGTTATCAATGTGCCCTTCTGCAAGCAAAGAGGAATTAGAAAAAGACGTTTAGACTTTAGTCAGTTTTTGAGTACAATTGTAAACATTTTGGCACTATTTGTCGTTTGTGTATACCAGTCTTTGCATTACATGAATTCAGTGATTAGACAATGCTTTTGCAACATGTCAACCTTGCATTATTAGCAGTGTTGGGGGTAACGCGTTACAAAGTAATGCGTTACTGTAATCAGATTACATTTGTCTGTAACGTAGTAATGTAACATATTACTGTTGATAACTTCAGTAATCACATTACAATTACAAATAACAAAATTGCGTTACTTGCGTACTGGTATCCGCATAACGGGAGGAGAAATAAATAAATCAAATGTCCCTTTTCGTGTGTGTTTGCATAACACTTTTCCACCTTTTCTCACTTTTGACGCCAGTCCATGAGGATGCAGAAATTCCTGCTCATCAATATAACCACTTCTTTGATACGCATGTCCAGTAAGAGGGAAAAATCTACTTTAAAGCCATTGTTCGGCAAATGAGCTACAGTAAGTTTCTTGTGTGTGTTTGGCCTGTTAACTGCACAGTTCAAATTTCATTACATATTCTTACAAGTTTTTCCTTTTAAGTCTCACCATCATCTCATATTGTGATGAGGGCCAGTGTCTTATTTTTTTTCATATTATTTTCAACAAATTAATATTTGCACTGGTTGGAAGGACAACCTATTTTTAGTTATGTTGTATTGTAATGACATTCATTATTTAAAAAATAAATGTTTCCAATGAAATGCCACTTAAAGTTTGAAGCATTATAGTACTGTAGCCTTGTTCTTCTCTTGACAAATGTTGAGCTGATGTTCACAACCTTGTTGTCAGCTTTGTAATATTAAAGAGTATAAAAGAGAGATCATGCGTATGTTCTCATTATAATAAGGATTTGTTTTGATCTGGGCATATATGATTTGTAACTTTATATTGTTATTTTGCATCACAGGTAATGTTACGCAGTAATCCAAAAGTATTGTAACTAGTAGTGTAACTAGTTACTTTCAGCAGTTAGTAATCTAGTAAAGTAAGGCATTACTTTAAAAAAAAGTAACTAGTAATGTGTAATATATTACCTTTTTGAGTAACTACCCCAACACTGATTATTAGTCAACTCTACATACAGTGGATATGCACGAACACGTTGTTTTGCAATCCAAACACAGACATGAATGATTGCACCCTCTGACACTGAAAGATAATCTTCCTCCTTCAAGTTATCAATCCCCACACAGTTATTAGACAGAGTCGATACAGTTCTCCCGCCAATAATGAATGAAGGGCATGACATCCGGAGGCCAGTTGGCAGGTACAACATGTCCAGAAGCTGAAGATCTACTTTGTGGCGAGCAGAGCTCTGGAGGCTTTCCAGTTTTAGCTGGCAGGCGATTTAGGGGGACGAGTTGTGTATCGTTGTGCTTTTTGGCTTCATATTTTGAATATGTTAGTCACACACATTCGCAACAAAAGTGACCATCTGCGCACAGCCAAGAACAGTTTCTGAATAATCACAAGTATTATATCCATCAGCGGTCGTACCACTAATAATAGAAATTCCAAGAAAACGTCCACAAAGGAAATGAGGTTAAAATTCCAAGAGGCAATGTGCTTAGTTTTAGCTAAAAAAATAAAATAAAAACTTCAGCAAAGCAAAAATATAGATGATTACTACTGTTCTCAGAGCTGTATTATGCACAATTTAAAAATACATCATGATTCACATGTCACGAGTTCAATGCAAGACTGGTACAGTATCGGTTCTTTAAAACTCAGGCTGAAACAGCAAAAAGCCGACCCGTACAGTAAGACATCATGCAAGAATATCAACATTAGATTTGTATTAGATTATGTGTCCAGTGTGAGCGCATAAAATACAGGCCGCAGGCTCAGCAGCCAGGTAGCAGACGAGGCCCTATGATGGAGGTTGGACAGCGATTAAAGCAGGATGACGGATGTGTCTGCTTAGATGAAAGGGGGATGAGTACACAGAGATTGTGTGTGTGTGTGTGTGTGTGTGTGTGTGTGTGTGTGTGTGTGTGTGTGTGTGTGTGTGTGTGTGTGTGTGTGTGTGTGTGTACGATTGCTTGGATGCAGGTGCATGTCAGTAGCAATCTGTCTGCTTTCAGTGGATTTCATTCCCACTGTATTTACTTCTACATTGACAGACAGTACAGCTATTTCGTTCTATATCATCATTATTTCCTACTTCGGCAAGTGGAAACAGCTTTCGCACTGTTAAACACACTATATACTGTGTATGTTATCAGGAAGAGACAAAAAAAAACATTTCTAACATACTACTGACGTGCAAAGCCACTGATAACCTCCTCTTTATTTATTCTGAGTCGTCCTTCACCGTTTCTTATGTAGGGAGGCACCTCAAGAAAATGGGTGAGGCATTACAATGTGCCAACAGTCTTATTGGTTTCACACACAACCTAGCATGCTGTCCCAGTTTTCTGCACTCCGCTCTCACTCCTCCTTTCTGTGGCTCTTTTCTTCTCTTTCCTTTTTTCTCCTCTAAATGACTGAATACTGGCTAAAAATAGAGATCAGTTAAGTAATCCAGTGATACAGGTGGTAATATTATATTTTTTTGTTTGTCTGGTTTTGTTTTGTTGTTCATAGCCTTTGACAACCACGATAAAGCGCACTTAGTTCATGTTTACAGACTGTAAATGAGGTCACCTACCCACATACAGTTACTATAATCAGTGCTGGAAATGGTGCTCAACCACAGCCACAAAAAGTTGATTTTGTTGCAAAGGCCAGGACCAAGGGCGAAGGTACAGACAGCGCAGCCGCACTGGGGCCCGCACTGTACAGGCCCGTGATGGGACCAGGCCCTCCCAGGTTACGAGCTGGAGTTTACCAGTTCCATGGAAAAAAATTCCTCACCACTCATCATTGAAAACTAGGTTCCACATCACCTTATGTGTTTACATCTTCAGTGAGCTCATGTGGTATATATACCCTCAAATGTCCACCTTTGCCACGGT